GAAATAGGTTTACATAGTTTTTAGTTTGGCTAACTCCAGGAATGACAGTGATACGAGCAGTATGTAAAGCTTATTTCGATATGAACATAAACGAATTACGATTTGCTGAATAGGTTAGAGTCCGTCCTCGATCAATGTTATCTATTTCCATTATCATGCTGATATTAGGTACCTCTGATAAAATGATGTGATGGCACTTAGCTTTGTTTTTTGCAGGCATATTTGTCGCCGTGTAGCAATTTCATTGCAAACGTATCAATTCTAAAATGTTTTGGAATAAATTGTAGAGCTGACATTCTAAATGTACTAAGTGACATATAAATATATATATATATATATATACATATACACCGACGTAATTGCGTTGAGTGGTGCAGACAACGGTCACTCTGGGATCAGGAATGGAACACTATTGTCTTTAGTGACGAGTCTCGATTTTGTTTAGGCATGCACGATGGTCGTGCCAGGGTTAGAAGGCGACGTGGTGAAAGGAGGAATCCACAGTTTTTTGTTGAAAGACATGTTCATCACACTGTTGGAGTTATGGTTTGGGGTGCTATAGCTTATGGTTCCAGGTCACCTTTAATCTTCATCAGAGGTAACATGAACGCGCAGCGTTATATCCACGAAGTTCTAGAACCCCATCTTTTACACTATCTTGACACCCTGGCAGATCCAACTTTCCAACAAGATAATGCCCGACCACATGTTGCAAGAGTCACAATAGACTTCTTTCAACATAATGATGTCACATTGTTACCATGGCCACCAAGATCTCCGGATCCCCAATTGAGCACGTGTGGGATATGATGGGTAGGATATTGCTCAATTTGCAACGTCCTCCTCAGACTCTAGAAGCACTTCGAGAGGAGTTGGTGGTTGCCTGGAATGAGATACCACAGGAGGACATTGACCACCTGATCAGAAGCATGCCTAGGCGCGTTGGAGAATGTGTAGCACATCAGGGTGCATCCACACATTATTAAAGGTCAAAGGGCTTTAAAGCAGTGCAATCATTTTGAATTTTTTATCATTTACTTATTATGCTTCATTAAGTACTTATACAAAATTTTATTAAAATAAAACCATTTAAACTGGGTGTTCGGATTTATATGTCACTTAGTATATATTTATCTCAGTAAGTACCCCTGTACAGTCGGGGAACTGTATAGTGTCTGACGTAGAATTTAGGATTTCATTAACGTAGCTGATAACACCATCGTTTTGGTTAAAATTTGCATTGTTGTAGAACACTTTTCAACCATTCAGCTTGAAAAAACTAACATCTGCAATTTTCCACGTTTCAGTTAAAATGATAACGTCGAATTTCTTATTAAAAGAATTTAAGTATATTTCTAATTCGTCAAAATTCTTTGATATACTTCTAATATTTTCATGAAATATGCTAAATTGTTTTACCTTCTGAAATATTATACTCTGAAGCATTATTCAGGATTTTGGTATTAGATTGTGTATAATTGATGACCCTTATGTACTGATCCATGACTAAGTACCAAACTATATAAAACGCAGAATACCTGCCACGTTACCATTAACATCAAAATATCGAATGTGTCAGATAAGGAATAAGTGCACACTTTTAGTTTTGATTAAGACTTCTTAAGTTTATGTGAAAAATTGTAAAATGTATGTTTCCATTAGCATCTAATTGATTCATGTGAAATATATAATTTCTTTTTATTTTGTCCATTGTTAAAATGTATGATTTTGGGAATGTTGCTTTACTTATTTTACTTTTTTATCTGATCAAGATGTTCAGACTACATATACATATATCTGATTAAAATATATACAATTTGCACATCTATTTCCTTCAATGTTGCATTGGCGACTTTCATGATTCCCTCCACATCTGATGCACACTGTATTATTTCTACATTTATATGAAGTAGGCTGAAATCTAAAACATATGTTACATTGTGTGATTTGGTTATAATCATATACGAGTACATTCAAATTTTGCCAATCTAATAATATTTTACCATAATTTTCATCTGTGATGGATCCATATGTTTTTCCATTCACTTCTGCAAATAATGTGTAATAATCTTTGAGGTGATTCTTCTTTATATAAGTAACTTTGATATCATTTTCTTGAACGAAATGATTTTGTCTAATGATACTTTTCTTGAGGCTAGCTTCAGTAGGTGGTTCTTCACTTCTATTTTGATTCTTGGTAGCTTCTTTTCTTGTTCTGTAACATTGTATTTTATTGATAACTTTTTTTAGATCTCATTTATCAGTGTAGTGAGGTATTTTTCTTCTAGTTTAAATTCGATTCCTCCTTTAATGTTGTCTACTTGTACTTTCAATTTCGATAGGTCAATCTTATTTAAATCTTTTTTTTTTGGTTCAAGTATTGTTTGTTCTTTAGTAGGATTCACGCATAGTGTCTTTAGGGGCTTGTTGTATGTCTTAGATCTGGCTGTTACCTGGCTTTATGCCATTCGATTCAACAGCTTTACTTCTATTTTCCATATTTTCGATATAATGTATTTTGCTTTTTCCAACGGTAAAAATTGTTTTGTTCAATTATTCTCTTTAGTTCCTTATTTTGAGTTTTAATTAGGTCGATCACACGTAGTTTCAATAACGTCATCTTCACTTTCACCTTGATTATCGTTCAGGGTTTTATTTTTTGTTTTTTTCCTACTTCACTCTGTATTGTGATTAGCCTCGATTAGGTACAGCTTTCAATGACAAAGTTGCCACAACTGTCAGATTTATGTGAAAATATAATGGAGGAAATGTACTTTCTTATGGAATATCGGAGCTCCCAACAGAATTACCAGTCTAGCGGGTCTTCACTGTGCCATGGAGTTTGGCGATGGTATTTTAAAGGCTCTTCTTCTAATATTAATGGAAACATCGACGTACAGTGAGTTTTAGAAGGTACGTAGTATGTAGTATGAACGAAACATTGATATGTCAAAATCAACAGTACAGAGAGTCTTAAATAAGAATACAAAGGATATAGGCGATTTAAAGAAACCGATTTCCGAAGGCGAATGCGGTTTCCGATTTTGTAAATCATGTCTTGTGGTCCGATGAGAGTAGTGTTACGAATTGTGGAGCTCTTAATAAGCACAAGACTCATCATTGGGCTGTGGAAAACCCTCACGAAGTGGCAGAGAGCCATCTACAGACCGCAATTGGAACTAACGTTTGGTGTGGGGTCATTGGCAATTCAATCTAAATCGTGTTTTTGTCTTAAACTTAAAGCGCAGTAATCCGCTGAGACTTACCTGCTATAAAACCAATTTTGAATTTGTTTAAAAAGTTAATCATTTAACTGAGTAGTAATCTCTCAAATGCTTCAGCTAAGTTTGGTGGAAGTGAAATATGGCGATAGCTATGAGAGTCCTGTTAACATCACTTTATATAGGCATAAGTATGATGACTGCTGTTTTGAAAGCTGATGGAAATACTCCAGATTGAAAGGTTTTGTTAATAATATAGAGAGTGAAGAATTATATACTGAGGTTTGTAATCGAATCTGTTTTCAGAATCACTACATTTCAAAAATGGCGAAACCAGCATATAGGATCCAGTTCTAAAGTTGACAGAAGTGTACTGAAACAAGACTGTTTTTCTCAAAAACGACCAGTTCTATCAAAATCGAACAAAAGTACAATTTTTCAGCTGAAGCTTTGCAAACATATCATTATATTCCATCCTCGTCGAAGTAAATATTTAGAATACATATCGTAGTACCCTCGTAGATGTAGCAAACCACTTGATTTCAAAGGGCGCATGCAGCGAAGGAAAGCGGCACCGCGCCCCTTCCCCCTACCTTCCTCCCCTCTGGCCGCCTATATACATTCATTCCTTGTTCTCGATCCAAACCGTTAAGATCGGCGCGCGTCGTTTCTACGTGTCCAGAAACAGCTGAACACTTAAAATTAGAGAACAGGGCAGAAGGTTGGCCGATAGATGTGCATTGTCGAACGAGATACCGAGCGATAGTCGCCTCAAGGTTCCTTTCGTCGCGGTGCAAAATTGGAAAGTGGCGTGCAGGCCTCTTTTTCTGAAGGATGCTTCCCTGGCGCTGCAGACTGTGTCTAACATGACGTTTGGGATAACGTTCTGACACTGTTGCTTGGAATAGCAACCTGGACCTACCTTGTGATAGCCAACTTGATACCAAGGACGAACAAGGACGTTTGGGATAACGGTGATACATTAGACTCGATTGTTTGGACCTGGCTTGGGATAGTCAGCTCCACACCAAGGACGAATGAAGAGGTTTGAGATGATGAATCAATACTGAACTTCGTTGCACAAATAACAACACTGAAAGCATTTCTGACAACATAGCAACAAGGTATAGTCAACAATCTCTTCTCATTTGATTGTGGAAACGGAGTGGGAGCTACACCTGCCACCGTCCTGATTTTGGTGTTTCTGAAATTTCACTTCTCTAGAAATAACGCAAGGGTCTGATGGAGGGACCCAGGACGCCTCTAATTCTGTATCACCCAATGTTTGCAACAACTTGGCTTTGAAGAAAATGAATGTTTATAGGCGGTCAGATGGGAGGAAGGTAGGGAGAAGGAGCGCGGTGCCGCTTTCCTTCACTACGTGCGCGCTTCGAAATCGTGGGGATTTGGTACAACTACGAGGGTACTACGATATGTATTCTAAATATTTACTTCGACGAGGACTTTACATAATTAAGATCGAACATCACTTACACGTAAGTTCGTTTGACGATGCAATTTTTAAGCTATTATTATACAGGGTGTGAGAATGCCAGCAATTTTGCGTTAGGGCTGATTGGTTCACGATGATCAAATTGAGTCAATTTTTTGAGTGATGATTTTGACATTTAGACATTAGACTCCATCACGGTCCATATGGGTAGCTCCTGGGGAATACGTGTAAGAGAATTCCAAATATAGTCATATAGCTATTGGATTTTTTAGTATATTATTTTCAATCCTTTTGGGAGCACTCATTGTGCAATGCGAAATTCTTACCTGTTCATCCGAACCGCGCATCTATCAGCTTAAATAACAATCACACACCGCACTAAATAGCCTGTTGTGTACGCCTATCCAAAATTCAATTCCGGCGAATATTCAGATCACGACAATCAGCAATGCTCCCGTTTCCGGAACAACACCCACCTTCAATCCGCGATTATTCGTTGATGTTATGGTATCGCTCAGTTGATCGTTGTGTTCGGATATACATGCCGGAGCATACATCCCAAAAGCTATCTGGCCGAGATAAACTGATAACAAAAGATAATTTGCCAAGCGAGATCTTATAGCACAGTACTTATGGATATACAGACTGTAACAGAAGTTTGGGACGCATCGAGTATCTGACGAATTTTTTAAAACTTAGTAGGATTTCGTTAGAAACTATGGCGGATGCGTTGATGATATCCGCGATGTTGCCAAATTTACAGTTTTTCAGAAACTGATAGCAACTTTAGTTTTTCTTATCGAATGCGAAATTTTGTTAGATATTTGTATTCTGCGAGAAAATCCGAATTTCTTTGACGTAGACCTCATAGTTTTCGATATATTCGCGGCCAAACATTAATATTCAAGCAATAAATGGTATTTTATTCACCTAAGCAATGACCGGTATCGAAAGTATACTAAGTGACATATAAATCCGAACACCCAGTTTAAATGGTTTTATTTTAATGAAAGTTGGTAAATGTATTTATCTTACTGTAAATAACAAGTGAAAAAATTTTCAGCCTTATCAGTTGGATATTCCGGTTTTTATACTGCTTTTTTAATTCACTAACGCTCTAAAAATGAATATTTCAGCCGCAGTAAAGAATCAGCGTTGGCGGATTTTGGTTCTTGACATCCTTTACGATCGGTTACGATGCCTAGAGTACGAAGACCTGTGCGATTTCGTCAACTTAGCGAGTTTGATAGGGGCCGTATAGTGGGACTTCGGAAAGCTGGACTTTCTTTTCGGGCAATTGCAGTTAGAGTGCAAAGAAGTGTAGACACTGTGGTTAGGTGTTGTTAGGCATGGCTTCGAGAAGGCCGTACGCAAAGAGCAAGGGGCACTGGACGCCGCTGTAGAACAACAGACCGAGAAGATCGCCGCCTAAGATTATTGGCCTTAAGGGACCGTTTCTCCACTGCCAGGTCCATTGCAAATGAATGGTTTGCAGAACACGGAAGACCTATTGGCATGCGAAGTGTTTACCGACGAATGAGAAGTTTTGGCTTGTTTTCATACCGGCCACACTGGGTCCTCCCTTTAACTCGAGAACACCGACGTAATCGCCTTGAGTGGTGCAGACAACGGTCACTCTGGGATCAGGAATGGAACAGTATTGTCTTTAGTGACGAGTCTCGATTTTGTTAAGGCATGCACGATGGTCGTGCCAGGGTTAGAAGCCGACGAGGCGAAAGGAGGAATCCACAGTTTTTTGTTGAAAGACATGTTCATCACACTGTTGGAGTGTGGTTTGGGGTGCAATAGCTTATGGTTCCAATTCACTTTTAATCTTCATCGGAGGTAACATGAATGCGCAGCGTTATATCCATGAAGTTCTAGAACCCCATCTTTTACCCTATCTTGACACCCTGATAGATCCAACTTTCCAACAAGATAATGCCCGACCACATGTTGCAAGAGTCACAATAGACTTCTTTCAACATAATGATGTCACATTGTTACCATGGCCACTAAGATCTCCCGACTTATCCCCAATTGAGCACGTGTGGGATATGATGGGTAGGAGATTGCTCAATTTGCAACGTCCTCCTCAGACTCTAGAAGCACTTCGAGAGGAGTTGGTGGTTGCCTAGAATGAGATACCACAGGAGGACATTGACCACCTGATCAGAAGCATGCCTAGGCGCGTTGGAGAATGCGTAGCACATCAGGGTGCATCCACACATTATTAAAGGTCAAAGGGCTTTAAAACAGTGCAATCATTTTGAAATTTTTATCATTTACTTATTATGCTTCATTAAATACTTATACAAAGTTTTATTAAAATAAAACCATTTAAATTGGGTGTTCGGATTTATATGTCACTTAGTATAATTTCCTATCATTCCTGACATTCAAAAGTCCATTAAGTTATTGAGAATGATTAATTTAACTGAAACCGAGATAATAGAAATTCTAATAATTTTGGGTTATGGCGATCGTCGATGAACACAGATAGAAGTTTGTGATGTCTCAATGACAAATTTCCCAACCGCAATCCAACAACAATGTCTACTGTTGAGGAAATTTGAAATAACACGACATGTAACGGATGTTCCATGATCTGGCCGTCCCAAAACAGCCACTGACGAAAATAAGGATTCGAATATGTCAAAGAGAATAGCAGACATACCCTACCTTTCTACTAGAGCCCTTGGTGAAGATAACAATACATATGCATCTGGTAAGACTATTTACTTTAGCGTATATCTTAAATACTTCATTTCTTACTTTAAAATTAAAGATTAGGATGTAACTTGCACGAAAATATCATTTTTTCTTCAAGGAACTCTCTGCTTGCTGTCTTATAGAACTTCAAAGTTGCATTTTTGGTGGTAATACTCTAGAATAGAATACTGTTTCATACACTGTCTTTTTTGCTTTTTAGCACAAAAGGATGCTCTAGATTATAAGAATGTACCTGTATTATACACTGGATAGTACTAAAGAAAATAGATGTGAAACTATAAAAAATCGTTGTTTTTTGAAAAAAAAAATGTTCAAAACCAGCCGTGTTATTACACATTAGCTTATTAGCTAAAATAACAGTTCAAAATACATACGTAAATGATGGTATTTACTTGGTAAACTGTGTAGAGGTGTTGTGCAGTGATTTTTTAATGTCTTCTTGAAATTCCTTAACCATCTTTTTCGCGTATTTTCAATGAGATCAAAGTTTTTGCGTTTATAAGAACTATTTGAAAGTACAAATAATGACACGCCATCACTTCCCAAAGCGTTCGATTTCAGAGACTGGAACATTGATTTTTAATCAGTCATGTCGATTGGCTTAAACTTGAATCGATCACAAGAATAGTGATTCTTTTCATAATGCTCAATCTGCTCTGTGCATCAACAAATGGCGTTATTAAAAATGGAACAGAAATAATTATTAATGTCAGTAGGGTTCTCTAAATGTAGAGGAATATCGGTATTTTGTGACTGTTGGATACGCATTGATTTTAAGGATCTATAAAACATTTTTGAATCATTTTGTTGGCGGAGGGATAATAAATATGCTGCTTTTTCATATCTAATTTGACTTAAAGTTGAATTTCTGAGCGATTCCAGGAATCTGTCTTATTAATGTTAAGCTGATTTTAAGCTCTGTCTCTGTCTTTGATCATACGTTTAAGCAAGGAGCATATTGCTAAACTTTGGGGAGGCGGAAGCACCCCCCCTCGCTCCACAAATCAATCTAGTCATGCGCACCGCCGGCACGCCCCTCCCCCCCCCTCCCGCCGTCCCCCCGTCGTCTTCAGCGTCTTCAATTGTCACCAACGCATTTTTGATCCTGCACAACCTGTAAACCAAACATCCCCCCCCCCCCGCCTGGATTTTGATATATGGGTGCCCATGGTGATCTTCTTCAAAAATCTTTGTTCAAGGGCAATCTTCCGTCCTCACATGTATGAGCCACCCGTACATAATAATATATAACTCCAGCTCCGTTCATAAGTGCGGCGGAAGTTCTGGTACTTCCCTGGTTTCAATGCCATTGTATACTGAGCTGCAAAATCAATAAGAACAGAGATGTCAGCGTCAGCTGTTGAAAAAATAAAACAACAACAAGCCGAGATCGTCCTTGCCCTACAAACATCTCCATAGCGAAGGACAGAATCTTTCCAATATCATGTTTACCCAACGTCAGCTGCTTGTTACTGAAATAAAAAGTTTCGGCGGTTAGCTTGCACAGGAAGCTATTATTCAATGTCTGCGTCACACTAGTTTGGCTTGATTTGACACGATGTGCTAAGAAAAACGTAAAGGAGAACTGGAACGTTTGATTACTCGGAAAGCTGGCGTTATGCAATTACCAAAATTCGATGATTTGGTAAATTTGATGCTAAAATCAGCTCTACACATTCTCACGCAGCTTCGTAGAGGAATTAACGTCGACGTTATCATTATACAGGGTGTTTCTTAATGATATGCGAATACTTAAGGATGTGAATCTGCATGAAAGATTATTGTTAGTTTCCGTTATAAACTATGGTCCAAAAATTTCCGACATACTGACAGTTCTAGCTTGAGGATATGTTGTTGTTTTGACGTTCAATGGAAAGCAGAACCATCATTTATAATTTTCTTGCAAATAATGTCGATCACTCAAAAATGCTTCGCTACATTGAACAAATTCCTCAACCTGTGGTATCTTCAAGAAATTGTTGAGTTAGGAAAATTAATGCACATGGATATATTATATTGTGTGTCTGAAAGTCCAGAAGCTTACAAACAAGCTATTCTTTTGATGAAGGTTGGTAAGTTACAAAACAAATCATTGCATATCCATATTATATACTTATCACATTATTTTCCGGTGTGATTCATTCTCACAGACTTTATGAGATGGTTCCTCCATTGATAAGAAACATTGTATGGCAAGTGCAATTATTGCATTGTCCATGTCAGAGATGCTTTTACACAAATCATTGTGGGACTCTAGATTGTGTAGAATGTCAGACACAAGTATGTATAATGTGTGTATGTGAAGATCGTAATTACTATTATTGAACATCGCTATTTCAGGGTGCTCGAAATGCCATGGTCATGTAGGATTAACAAAAATGAAGTGTTACAGAAAGTAAACAGAAAAACAGAGTTGCAGCATGAAGCAAAATCAGAAAAACCTTATGACAATTCTATAGTTAATTACGAATGGGAAAATAAAAGAAGATTGTGACTCATCAAGGGAATTACTTTCCTGTTGAACAAACTCCAAACAATTCAAACAACTAGATAAGCGGAAAAGGCCCATTATGTAACTCAAAGTCAGACTGGGTTAATCCCTAATAGGTAGTTTTGAGATTTCATTGTATTCATAATTCACTCATCATTACAGGTAGATAGATGCAAGTATGAAACTAAAACTCCCAACTTTATCATCAACTTAACATGTAAGACTCATTTTAGGCAAAAATGAACCTAACCTGGCTCTAAGTTACAGAATTTGAGTTGTATTTAAACTGCTGTGTATAAATTTTGGATTCAAATCCCTATCAATAATGGAGCCTTCAGCTACTGAGCATACTTCAGTGGCATCATCAAGGACAAGGAGATTAAAGAACAATATATGTTCTATACTAAGTGACATATAAATCCAAACACCCAGTTTAAATGGTTTTATTTTAATAAAATTTTGTATAAGTACTTAATGAAGCATAATAAGTAAATGATGAAAATTTCAAAATGATTGCACTGCTTTAAAGCCCTTTGACCTTTAATAATATGTGGATGCACCCTGATGTGCTACACATTCTCCAACGCTCCTAGGCATGCTTCTGATCAGGTGGTCAATGTCCTCCTGTGGTATCTCATTCCAGGCAACCACCAACTCCTCTCGAAGTGCTTCTAGAGTCTGAGGAGGACGTTGCAAATTGAGCAATCTCCTACCCATCATATCCCACACGTGCTCAATTGGGGATAAGTCGGGAGATCTTGGTGGCCATGGTAACAATGTGACATCATTATGTTGAAAGAAGTCTATTGTGACTCTTGCAACATGTGGTCGGGCATTATCTTGTTGGAAAGTTGGATCTGCCAGGGTGTCAAGATAGGGTAAAAGATGGGATTCTAGAACTTCGTGGATATAACGCTGCGCGTTCATGTTACCTCTGATGAAGATTAAATGTGACCTGGAACCATAAGCTATAGCACCCCAAACCATAACTCCAACAGTGTGATGAACATGTCTTTCAACAAAAAGCTGTGGATTCCTCCTTTCACCACGTCGCCTTCTAACCCTGGCATCGTGCATGCCTAAACAAAATCGAGTCCGTCACTAAAGACAATACTGTTGCATTCCTGATCCCAGAGTGACCGTTGTCTGCACCACTCAAGGCGATTACGTCGGTGTTCTCGAGTTAAAGGGAGGACCCAGTGTGGCCGGTATGAAAACAAGCCAAAACTTCTCATTCGTCGGTAAACACTTCGCATGCCAATAGGTCTTCCGTATTCTGCAAACCATTCATTTGCAATGGACCTGGTAGTGGAGAAACGGTCCCTTAAGGCCAATAATCTTAGGCGGTGATCTTCACGGTCTGTTGTTCTACGGCGGCGTCCAGTGCCCCTTGCTCTTTGCGTACGGCCTTCTCGAAGACATGCCTGACAACACCTAACCACAATGTCTACACTTCTTTGCACTCTAACTGCAATTGCCCGAAAAGAAAGTCCAGCTTCCCGAAGTCCCACTATACGGCCCCTATCAAACTCACTAAGTTGACGAAATCGTACAGGTCTCCGTACTCTAGGCATCGTAACCGATCGTAAAGAATGTCAAGAACCAAAATCCGCCAACGTTGATTCTTTACTGCGGCTGAAATATTCATTTTTAGAGCGTTAGTAAATTAAAAAAAAGCAGTATAAAAACCGAAATGTCCAACTGATAAGGCTGAAAATTTTTTTACGTGTTATTTACAGTACGATAAATACATTCACCAACTTTTATCAAAATAAAACCATCTAAACTGGGTGTTCGGATTTATATGTCACTTAGTATACAATATATGGGACTTGAAGATACCACAGCCTGACGAATTTGTTCAATGTAGGAAATTATTATTGAATGATCAACATTATTTGCAAGAAAATATCCTTCGGCATTTGATTCATGTCTTAAATGTTTTAAACGTCGAAAAAGAAACATAACCTAACATTACAATTGACCTCTGATTGACAGCAGACTAGAAATGTAAAGCTGGACATACATGTATCTTACCGTAGATATTATCGAAATCAAGGAGGCCATAAACGTAGGGACGACTGACGATACGGGCCTTAGACAGATCAGCAACAAGTTGACATTTTGTCGGTTCTTCAGGATTACGTGACATACTGACAGAGAGAAACGTGCCGTGTTTTGCATTCAACATTATGCTGAAGCGTTTGACATTTTCATGCGGCGAACCTCGAGTATATAGCCAAGAACACCTTACCACACCACCAAAATGTGATATCATGTACTTTTATTGGTCGGTATGTCTCCCCGTTATTTCAGTAACCTCCACGTCAATTTGCTGGAATATGGTTTAGGGGTTTGCTGCGTTTTTGAAGAAAATCCTCCATTTCTAAGAATCTGATTAGGAAAAGCCTATAGGGGTGTCCGAGCTTACATTTTCTACTTCCTTAGAATCTCTTTGACTCTATTGCCTTTTTTTCAGGACTTCAGGACGCTATTGCGAAGGATCTGCTTGTCTCGGACCGAAGTATTCTGGCAGCTCGAGTATTGGCGATAAATGCTTCTACTGGGGTACTAGTAAACTGCGCTTGGTGGCAAAGGCAAGCGCTCGATATGGGAGGACCCAGGAAGCTGACTGAGAACATCATGGAGGTGGGCAGGCGACCAAGTGCTCAGTTTCCTTGGTAGGTATAGGTTTTTAATTAATACGGGGAGTTTATGTCAAATTCAGAATATCGGAACTGTAACCTATGATTAATCTAAAATTTGACATTGTCGAGAAAACGTGAATATGAGGGGAGGTCAGAAAGTACGGAAGTCACGGCGCCGAGAAAAAAACTCCATGCCACGTCCACGATATTATTCACAGCACCCGTATACTTCAACAGTGGCTGATCTGTGTACTTTGTAGGTATGAAGATGCTGACTCTAGCCCTGGACTCCGATCCCCGAAGTTTGTTGGTAGTCCACCAAATGTCGCGTACAAAGGGTGGTGGACCTATCCTTACTACTCTTGTGGAGCGAGAAGATGGCTGACATCGTATAGTGTCCCAATACCATCTCCTGGGAGACACGGGTAAGTGCTATTCATATTCATTCCAGTAACGGGTTTCTAAAAGTCGAGAACTAGGAAGCATCATGTCTGTATTTGATGGTCCTGAATATAAGAGGTTGAATGTATGCTTGTATCATTAAACTCCACTCCTCTAAAGACAGCATAATAGTACTTTACACAGGGTGTCCCAATTTCGACCTACATATCAAAGTTGTGATTTTTCAAATAGAATGCCTCAAATTTTATTGCCTACTGGGATAAACCAATTCAAAAGAAGAAAATTGATATAACATTCTAGGGGGTTTTGGTAATTAGCTACTGAGATATTAGGTGTTTTGTCTAGAAAAACCCCCCACTTCGGCAACCCCTGAGTCCGCCATTTTGAAATTTGAAGTGCTCAATTTTGTATCAAACAAAACTTCCACACCTCAGCTTTTATCTCATTTATCACTTTTTCCTATTTTAATTTTTGCTCATACAGGGTGGTCGAAAACGCAAGTTGTAGTTTTTCTCAAAAATTTTAAATGTATTACCCTGTATATTTGTGCAAGTTTGGATTCAATTTTATAAGCTTTTTTTGCAGAGAAATACAACTATTCTTTTTCAATCAAGAGAACGTTGAATAATACTTACAGTTTCTCGAAGCGTCACGATTCTGCTTTCCGCCGGTCCTTTTATTTTTAGTTTTCCAGTCGAAAAAGTACTCTGCCGGGATTCGGTTTGGAAAGTCCTACCGCGTAGTGGGACAGTTAATCAAGTATTTTTCTTTAATCAAGTAACTGTGTAGCTTAAGAGTTGAATCCCGAATGTTTGGTTTGCGGAACTTCAAACAGTAATTTGACAAAATGAGTCTTTTATATTAATATTTTTCCTCACAAAAAAGTATACCCTGAGCATTTACACTTTTTTCTTTTAAAAAGAATTGACAAAATTTGACTTACAAAGTTCAAACGTGAAGTTTGAACTTGAACTACGTGACGTTATAAGGTTTTCCACGTCTCATGCTTAAAATGTCACTCTATTTCTGGGTGGCGTGAAAAGCAGAGGATTTAAATGAGTTTCCCTATCAGTGTAAGGATTGAAATATGTTTTTTATACATACGGACAAAAAAAACGCTGCATGTTGATTCAATTCGTGGACACCAGAATTTTTTGTAAAGAGTCGACGATTCGCAGGCAAGATTTTGCGTCAATCGAACAAATGGTGACAATTTTTAACAGTTTTTGTAAAAATGGTATCCATTTAATTTCATGATGATATTTTTTAAATAATTTTTAATAATGCTGACTAATTCTCTTGGTATCCAACTTTTATACAGATGATTTCTGGTATATCAACTTCTTTTGACGAGTTCTACAAGGTGTTAAATTAAATGAGCTTTGAAAACACTCTGTATATTGTCATCAGAATAATAACACTGGACAACAAATTTTAGTTTTTTAATTGTATCTTGTGGGAAAAGTGCACTTCTTTGTTAATTTTGGGGCGCTGAATCCAAAAATGACAATGAAATAAAAAAATTAGTTGCGGTTTAGAAAAAAAAACTTTTTATTTTTAAGGATATATTAAAAAAAGTAACAAGATTCATATACTTATAAGAACCACTATATGCGCTGTCTTTTTGCTGTTCTTTTATGGATCGTTTCTGGAGCATCTCTACCAAGAGTCCAACAGTAGTCTGCAAGCATGGAAGGATTCCACTTTCCCTGGTACCTTTTTTCCATTGTTGAAATATCCTGATGAAAACGTTCGCCGTGCTCATCACTTACGGCTCCGCAATTGTCAGGAAAAAAGTCCAGGTATGAGTGCAGAAAATGTATCTTAAGAGACATATTACAGCCCATCTTTTGACACGATGACAGCATATTTTTGACAAGGGTTTTATAGTTGTCAGCTTTTCCATTTCCCAAGAAATTAGTGACCACCAGACGGAAATCATTCCAAGCAGTTTTTTCAATACCTGTTAAAGTGTTTTCAAACTGTGTATCTTTCAACATATTTCGAATCTGTGGCCCAACAAAAATACCTTCTTTAACCTTTGCCTCACTTAGTCTTGGAAATTTCTGACGCAGGTATTGAAAAGCTGACCCATCTCTATCTAATGCCTTGACAAAGTTTTTCATTAGGCCCAACTTGATAAGCAGTGGTGGTAATAAAATTTTTTTCGCATCTACTAATGGCATATGCTGTATATTTTTTTGACCTGGCTCTAGGAATTGACGAACAGGCCAGTTTTGTCTGGTGTAATGAAGTGCCTTTGCCCGACTGTCCCATTCACACAAAAAACAGCAAAACTTTGTGTAGCCTAGCTGCAGCCCAAGTAAAAGTGCAACAACTTTCAAATCGCCACAAATATGCCATTGGTGCTCATCGTATTTTATGCATGTCAATAGGTACTTCATATCGTCATATGATTCTTTCATGTGAACTGCGTACCCTACAGGAAGAGATGGTAAAATATTTCCAATATGCAATAACACTGCCTTTAAACTCAGTGTTGAACTGTCTATAAACAATCTCCATTCTTCTGGGTTATAGTTTATATTTAAAGCCGTCAGTAAGCCGTTAACGTTACTGCAGAAAACCAAGTTATTCTCCATATTGAAAAATGGTTCTAAGTCTTTGTGGCGTTTACGAAAAACACATACCGAATCATCGTCTTCTAACAAGTTCCACTGCAGCAGTCTTGATCCAAGTAACTCTGCCTTACATTTTGGAAGTTCTAAATCTCTTACAAGATCATTTAATTCTGACTGTGTTATTTTGTGCGGTTGGTGGCATGAAGTGCTCGGTATAAAATCATTATCTCTTGACGTTGATGGCATATCTTCTTCCTGACGAATCACTCGATCGCCATGATCTGATTCGTTTTCTGATTCGCAAGTGTAGGATTCTCGGGGTTTTGGAATAGGATTTTCGTCACTGTGAGGCACAGGTCTCATCGCAGATGGTATGTTTGGGTAGTTAATAACCGATTTTTTTTCTTGGACATACCTGTGGCTTGTCCAACACAAGGTACCATGCAAAAGTAACAATCATTAATATGATTTGAAGGCTCTCTCCAAACCATTGGGACAGCAAAGCGCATAGACCGTTTTCTGCCATTTAACCAGCTCCTCAGACTTGAAGCACATGTATTACAATAGATGTGGGGTGCCCACTGTTTGTCTTGATCACCTAGTTTACAACCGAAATAAAGCTGATATGCCTTTGTTATTAGTGGAGTAATAGACCGTCTCTGAGATGCAAAAGTCACATCACCACACATGTAACAAAACTGATCTGGATTGTTTACACACTTTCGAGACATCTTGCATGAACGCTGTCAGCCAACTGAGGAAAAAATGACTAATATAAAACAATATAATGTACACGTATGTATAACGTAACACAATCATGCCGATTACATCATCTTTCCTTGCCGAATATAAAAATGTAGCACGTGCATTCTTGTGAATTACAGTATATTAACACTGTCACAGCAGGAACACATATAATTACCGTATCTCTAAAACTTGAACTAATATTGAAAAAATAAAATTCATTCCGGTTTTAGCACATTAAAAATAGTAATATTTTGTTGATTTTATTTAGGATATTTTTTGGCTGTTGATCAGTGTAATTTGTATTTTAAAAAAGGCGGGTGGTGGCCGAAACGTTATCATCATGAAAATCACAGGTTTGGTATTCAAGGACACTTCGTATACGTAGAAAGTTTTATTGATAACATCTTTATTTTTTTGGCACGTTTATAATTCGATTTGAAAGCTTTCCAACATTTTCCACTTCTGTTTCTAGTAAATCTCCTTCTTGTAAATACTGCGGAGGATTCTGGTTTGATCCAACTCCATAGGGTGTTCCTGTGCAGATTACATCTCCTGGCAGTAAAGTCATCGCGCTGGAAAGTAAAGAGATTGTCAGTTACAAACAAAGAAAGTCGTAAAGGGTTCAGATCGTATTCTAATAAATGGAAGAAGTGAGATGTTGCTTATCAACATTTTCTTAAGGCCATTATACACGGGCAATATTTTTACTGCATACATTGTCTACATCTTGCTGACAATATTGCTGAGACATAAAAGTTTTGCAATTCAGCTTTATTGCAATTCGACACGAATTCGTACGACGAGTCGTCTGCTCTTCCGTCAGACTAGGCGATACCCAGAGAGAACAAAGTTTCTTTACGTGTAAATGGTCATGCAGAATTGAATAAATTGCTGATGCATGAAGGTGTAACTTCTCCTCTATCCACTAGTGAGCGGGGGCGTGGCAAATATTTGTTCCGGAAGTTGTTGTATCCAGTATACAACTTTTTGCCGTTCAAGTGATTGTAGACGCGTTGTACTGATTGCCAGCTGGCAGTACAATCCGCCAACGGGCCACTTTAGGTGGTAGACAAGGACTAGTCGGCCGAGGCGGTACCACCCGCTATCTTTTCCCAGAGTGTCCTATAAGTGCGCGCATGTTTCCACACCTAAGCTATGCAGTCGGTTATCTTCTAAAAAAAAAGAAATTATTGACGATAGATCCCCCGAGCACTAAGAATTCCGGACGTGAAGTCACTCCACTCTCGGAATGTCCGGGTGGAGGGGGGGCTTGAGGGAACAACAGCGAAGATAAAATTTGTTTTGCGAACTTCTGCGAGATTAACAGTAACATTGATGCTGTTCATCACTGCCTGCAATTAAATCGTCCCGCCATGCCTTTCTTGGCAGAGACAAAAATCTCAGAGTCTGCACCGATTAACCATCTCAACTTTCCAAACCACGAGATGCACTCCAATCTGAGAAAGAACGGGAGAGTTGTGGCTTTTGACCGCAGCAGTCTTTCCTGCTCCAGATGTTGCTTTGGAATCAGACCGGAAGGACATTCTGTGGATTCGCCTCAACTCCAAAACATAAGACTTGATTTCTGCCATTGTACTGAAGAGGTGTACAGCGGAGCTTGCTCCAGTTCTTTCGCGTCTCTTCCAGATATCTTATGAATCAGGCACCTTCCCAGAAAACAGGAAATTCGCTCATGTCCAACCCACCCGAAGAAGGATCTAAGACCGACCCTTACAACCAGAGGCCTATAACTCTGCTATCTAATATAAGTAAGGTGATGGAGAGGTTCATTAATCGCGAGCTTCTGGACTACCTCGAACGTCACAAGTTGATTACCGACAAGGTAGTATGGTTTCCGGCACCAACGATCCACAGGGGACCTCCTAGCTTACGTCACGCAATGTTGCAATAAACATAGTGTAGGTTTAGATACTCCTTAATATAATTTAACTTTAACTTTGAACATAAGAGGTTTGTTGTTACTAACTATGGATGATTTTAAACAGATATTTTTTACAATTAGGAATAGTCGGCATTTTCCCTACTTCTCGCTCAAACGTTACATTCATTTATTATAAAAGTCGCTAGGCATTTATAATATCTTATAAATAATTGATCGTTTTAAGCCAATTTCAGGCATCTACAAAATTGTAACCAGGAAAATGGTTGACAAAACTTCTGAAGGTGATTCTTTGAGTAATTTTAACATGAAAAGTTTATATAAGTATAGGTCCATAAATACTAATACAGGGTATCAAAATCGGCTTTCCTAGATATCTTGAAAAAACTTTAAGTCGATTTTGTTCAAATTTAGTAGTGATATTAAGGGCAGTAAGGAGCTGAGATTAGATTGAAACTATTAAGTCCAGTGGCGTCCTGGAAAACACCCTAACCAATATCTTTGACAGAAAATTTGAGCGCCACTGACTTTTTTCAATTTTTCTATTTTATTAAGCAGCTGAAAATACAACTTTTTTGTCTCTCAAGTATCTTTCATATCTCGCTTCGTTTGTGAGATAAAAAATATAAACCACTTTATTGCATGTCCTTGGGGCAGTAACATAATAAAACATTAAAACCACCAAACCAATTAAGCAATTAACATTAGATGAGTCGTCTCTAAAATTTTCCCACACATATTCTACAAAGCAACATCAAATAATCGCATAACGTAATAATTTATAAGAGCAATGTTTTAAAAGTAACAGAAAACAAGAGTGCCATGAAAGGAAAAACAATTGCTACTAAAACAAATTTTACTGTAACGTAACCTACTTAAAGCAATGCTTAAGTAATGATCGTAATTATTAGAATCTTAAGCTATAAAGTTACTGATATTGGAAAATCAGGCACCTTTCAAAGGTCGGCTGCTGTGATTGGGAGACCTGCCCATTGTAAGAACAGTGGAAATAGAGAAAGCAGTTTTAAATGAAGCTTAGCGTAGTCTTGGAACAAGTACACGCAAAACTAAACATCTCTAACTTTAGTGTATGGCCGATTTCAAGGGAAAATCAACTGTATCCTTACCACATATAGCGTGTTTAAGCGTTATTATCTGCCGATTTTTCGCAACGAGTCGTTTATTGGCTTACAGGTAACAGGTAACGTATCCAAGATTTCTATCCCGATTTTATTTATCGATGAAGCGTGTTTTTGCCGAAATCCAATTATAAACTTTCACAATAATCATATCTGGGCCGCAGAAAATCCCCATGCGGTTACAGAAGTTAATTATCAACAACACTTTTCGATTAAGGTTTGGATTGGTATTGTAGGTAATCATCAGATTGGATCTCATTTTTTACCCCCGAGATTAAAAGGTCAAGCGTATCGTCATTTTTCGGAATTTATTTTACTTGAACTATTAGAAAATATCCCGCTAGAAGTAAGAGGTGTGATTTATGTATGATGGGGCTCCACCTCACTTAGCATTGCAGCTAGCCAATTTTTGAATGCAACTTTTGGAGAAAAGCACGTCCACAGTCACAGCCACTCAGCTCACCGGATTTAAATCCGTCAGAATTTTTATTTGGGGGCATTTAAAGTCCCTCGCTTACAAAATGCTTGACTTTTATAAGTCTCGTGTTATTTACTGTTTGTTTTCATTGAAGCAAGTTCTGTAGTTTCAATAAGACCGGTTCGATTTTTTTTTAATTTCCAGCATCACCAATGTGTAACGACACTGTCAAAACATTGCAACAATAAATAACGTTATGTAAATATTTTATGTTTATTTGTTATTAGTCTAATCATATAATTAGAACATAAAAAAAACTAATAGATATTAGTACCAATAAAGTAATAATTAGTCACAAAGAGAAAAGCAGAAATGCCTGGATTACCAAAGGATTAATAACATCGGCAATAGAAAAAGAAAGACTATATAATATAATGAAACTAACGCCAACTACAGAGAATACCGACTGCTACAAACAATATAAAAATAAATTTATAGAGCTTGTAAGGCAAACCAAACGAAAACATTACCTAAATAAATTGAATAATAACTTAAATGATCCTAAGCGGCTTTGGACAACTATTGATGACATTACTGGGAAAACAAAATTTAAAGAGTGTGTCACTGAGTAAAATACAACATCGGGAACAGTATTAAAAAATACTCAACAGATATGCGATGAATTTGTACAATTCTTTACTGACATAGGCGAAAATTTAGCAAGTAATATACAAGCAAATGTAAAAAATACTCAGCCTCCAAAAAGAACTTTGAACTCATTTATTTTGGATAAAGTCGAACAATGTGAAGTATACACCACTGTTGTGTCCTTAAAAAATCGGAAAAGTCCTGGGTTCGATGGTATTAAAAGCGAGCATTTGAAAATTATAGCCGAGGGCATAACAGAACCACTCACTTAACTAATCAATCAATGCTTTGAATCTGGCGTATATCCCTCAATTTTAAAAAAACGTAATATAATACCGATACATAAATCAGGAACAAAAACAGATGTTAACAACTATAGACCTATATCAATAATATCCAGTGTAGCAAAGGTTTTTGAAAAAGTTTTATCAACTAGAATGATTCGATACCTCACAAAATTCAAAATTGTAAGTGAAGATCAATATGGATTTACAGAAGGGAAGGCAACATCGGACGCAATAACTAAAATTGTAAATCAAATACATGAAAATATTGATAACAGAATCCCTTCAATGTGCATTTTTGTTGATTTAAAGAAAGCTTCCGACACAGTTAATCACAAATTATCATTAGAAGCATTGGAGAGAATTGGTTTCAGAGGAAACGCGTACTCACTGATCGAAAATTATTTGTCAAATCCCCCACAATCTGTGCAGATATCGGGATCATTTAGTAAAGAAATGTATATTAAGTGTGGTGTCCCACAAGGAACTGTCTTAGGTCCGCTGTTATTCAATATATATTTAAATGATATTTTCCAAATTAATTGTGTTGGCAAAATAACTAGTTTTGCACATGATACTGCAATATTATATGAAGGCACTGACTGGTCTGATCTGAAAAATGTAATTGAAAATGATGATATCAAAATTATTCGGTGGTTTAACAGTAGAAAATTAAGCATTAACTACTCTAAAACACATTTTTTACCTGGATCTTATGCTAGACATCTGCCAAATTACACAAATTTCTCCTTCAACATTATTGATCAAAAAATGCAAATTAATAGGGTGCCCAACATAAAATACCTTGGAGTGGTCTTGGATCCTCACTTACGATGGGACATCCATGTCAATTACATTTTAAAGAAAGTTAGATTTGTATCCTACAAAATTAAATACCTTGGGAATATATTGACAGAAAAATATCTTCGAACATTATACCATGCACTGATTGAGCCTCATCTCACATATGGTATATTAGCATGGGGAGCTACATGTTCCTCACATATCTATAATTTAGATGTTTTTCAAAAAAAGTATTCTAAAAATGATATTTAAAAAACCGAAACTTTATCCCACTGAAAAATTATACGCAGATGTTCGAATGTATGATATAAGACAGCTTTATTTCTTACACAGTATCACTCACTATCATAAATTTGTAAACACCGACCAAAAAATTTAACATAATCATTATACCAGGTACAAAATTCGTGGCACAGTAGTTCCTCAACCGCATAAATCTGTAATGCAACGATCATATCTCTATTTAGCGCCTAAATTTTATGAAATTATACCTAAAGACTTAAAAGATTTACGTTTCGGAAATTGTTTCAAAAGAAATTTAAAAAAGTGGCTACATTCTATATCTAGGACTGAAATTCATAAACTCATAAATACGAACATCAACTAAATACATAATCTACTGTAGCTAATTTTTGACCTTTTTGTCATTTGCATTCTACAGTTTCAACTTAAATTATTGGTCCATGTACAGGCGATGCCTTCTATTGTGCCTGTTTTGATTTTATATTTATTTACTCAGATTGTTTGTTATCTTTGTACATTGAGTGAATAAATATTATTATTATTATATATTAGACAAAAATACCTCTGGTTTGCTAATTAATTGTAAGGTCTGGTTTTATTGTTGCAAGTTGCTCAACATGGACCCATAAAATGCGTACACCAATTTTTGTGGGAAAACTTTTTATTTGACAACAAAGATTAAAAAAAATCGTTTTAGGGACTCAATCGAAAATGTTGGCAGGAACAAAAAACTAAGATTTCATGGTATTTAAATGAGACTACACGTAAACTAATAGCAAAAAAGCTATTGCCGAAAACTGAAGGTTTTGGCACTTGTTGGTAATGCAATTTCGAAGAATTCGTACTTCTTACTAACCACAACAAAATAGAAGAAAAAAATAAACGAAAAGATACCACTGCTAAATTTGAACGAGATGGACTAAAGGTTTATCAAGATATTTAGGTAAAACCGGATTTTTCATATTAAAATTGCTCAAAGAATCACCTCCTGAAGTTTGATCACGTACTTAAATTAGTAACACTCTGTATTTGCAGTTTTCAACTAAAATCCACTGGCTCAGCAATGTGAAGAGAAACCGAGCTCAAACTTTCAAAATTGTATTTGAGATCTACGATACTGCTGGTGGCGCAGCTTGGCACACAACAGAATATGTACACGAAACTTAACTCTCAAAACCCAAAGATAACAAAAATACGGTCTTTACTCCTTACACATTTTAGGATGTACAGGGTGTTTCAGTTTATTGTTGCATAACTTTAAGATTCGATACAACTTTTAAAATTAATGCATAAAGTCTATATAGACATGGGTCGAATACAAGGGTTTTTTGGTACGGCAAAACGAACCATGGGCATAGTTTTACTGTAGCCGCTAGAGGGCGCTCTGCACTGAACCTGTACTGTATTAAAATGACCGAAATTTTTTTCTTAGTGCAATTTTTTGCTTTTTGAATGAAAAAACTGATTCTTCGCACTTTTCAACATAAAAAAGCTCTCTTGTGAATTTTCGTTATAGTTAGCCGTTTTTGAGATATTTCGATTTTTAGTGTTCGATGCATTTTTAATTATTTATGATAAAATAACGTTAAAAAGTCAGTATCTCGATAAATTTTAGAAGTAGGTTGTGCCTGCAAATATTTTTGAAATTGAAAGCAGAATAAGGTTAAACGTCAATTAGTTGACAGTTAGTTTTGTTGTCTGTTGAAACCTGAAATATTTTTTTGCAATTGTGAATGCACGAAATTTAGTTTCTTTTACCAAGTGTTAGGAGAGTTTCTGGTGCCTTGGGAATTTCAGCAAGCCATGTTGACCGTGTTCTTAGAAATGACCATAGACGTCCTTACCATTTGCAACCTGTGCAAGGAGTACAGCCAGGGGACGGAGAACGAAGAATCACATTTTGTCAGTGGATTCTTGATAGACCTGATAATAATAGGGGGTTTTTAAGTAACGTTTTATGGACCGATGAGTCATGCTTCACTAGACGTGGAGTGGTAAATTTTCATTATCAACATATTTGGTCGCATGAAAATCTGCATGCAATTCGGGAAAGAAATTTTCAGCATGAATTTAGTGTGAACGTGTGGATTGGTATCTACCGTAATCGACTATTTGGACCCTACCTTTTGCCTGCAAGGTTAAATGCTGCGACCTTCTTGGAATTTTTAAAAGCTGAACATGCAAATATGTGTGATGATGTTATGTTAGATTTAAGAAGATTGGCCTGGTTCCAGCTTGATGGTTGTCCAGCTCATTATTCGAGAATAGTTAGAAACTGGCTGGATGAAAATTATCCAGAAAAATGGATCGGCCGTGGAGGACCAGTCGCCTGGCCTCCACGATCCCCTGACCTAAATCCATTAGATTTCTTTGTGTGGGCATTTCTAAAAGAAAAAGTGTACCAGACTCCCGTAACCACAAGAGATATGCTAATAGACAGGATCGGGAATGCATGTGATCAAATAAGGCTTTATTTGAATAATGCTATACCACGTTCGATCATTCGTAGATGTGAATTGTGTATTGAACAATTGGCTTTACATTTCGAGCAACTACTTTAGATTTTGTGTGTTTGTCCTAACTATCCAATGGCAGTTTAGTTGTAAATAATTAATTTAATTTGTTAAAAATAATATTGGACAATTAAACAAATTAATATTCTGTTTTTTTGTGTTTATTTGGAGTTAAGAATTATTGCTCTGTTTAAAAACACAATCTAGACGATTATCTTAATTACTTGTAATGCCCAAATCGAAAATTTAAAAAAAAATATTATTTTCCCATAAATAAAAATGCATCGAACCTTAAAAATCGAAATATCTCAAAAACGGCTAACTATAACGAAAACTCACAGGAGAGCTTTTTTATGTTAAAAAGTGCGAAGAATCAGTTTTTTTATTCAAAGGTCAAAAAATTGCACTAAGAAAAATTTTTGGGTCATTTTAATACACTACAGGTACAGTAGAGAACGCCCTCTAGCGGCTACAGTAAAACTACGGTTCGTTTTGTCGTACCAAAAAACCCTTGTATACCAATTTTCACTGTTATACATCAAAAATTATTCGAAATATTTTAAAAAAAACTATTTTAGAAAGTAAATTTAAACACCCTGTATTTCGGAAGCCACGCATTTTTCGACCCATGTTTATATAGACTTTATGCATTAATTTCAAAAGTTCTATCGAATCTTAAAGTTATGCGACAATAAACTGAAACACCCTGTATAATATAAATATCGTGGTATACAACTAACCTACTCAAATATTCAACGATCTTATCAATTCTGCAAATCATATTCTCTGTGTTCCCATTCTGTTTGAGTACACCATTCACCCACGTCCTGATTCTAATTTTATGAGGATCCCCGAGTTCTTCCTTCGTCACTACGCACGGTCCTATGGGACTGAATCCGTCCATGTTCTTGCACATGATTAGCTGACCGCCACTTCTGCTTATCCAGTCTTTCGCCGTCAAGTCCTGTGTTGCTGTGTAACCAAAAACGTAATCCAGAGCCTCTGACGCTTTTACGTTTTTCGCTTTTCTACCTATCACGGCCACCAGTTCGCCTTCCCAGTCAATTGCCTGAAATTCATAAACAGATACAGCGTCAAAACAAAAGTTCCGGCTGTGTATTCTTTAGGATAAGGTATTTCCGGCGGTGACCTTGAATTTGACCTTGACTTTCACTCTCAAGGTTAATTACTGGTCGACTTTATTTTTTTCGGATAGAAACTCCCATTTTTGAAGCCGGCAATCGAAAGAACAGACATTTTTGCGTTCAAATGTCAAGATGATTACAAAAGGTCAAATATCTGCTGGTAAAAAAACCTCACCGTATGAGTGGGTCAAGGCATTTGGTAGTACACAAACAATAATGCCAATAGGTGTACCTACCGTCTTCCGAAAAAATTAATACAAACGAGGTAAAAGTAGAAAAGTTACGACGTTCCAAATTCGATGAAAACTTTGCTTGTTGCGTTTATTTTGACCCTGAATGTCAGGGCGTCCAGTGGGAAAGTTCACATTTCAAATTTGAATTACGCGGCAACCGTATACGCGAGGAAGTGGGGTCTTGATCGACGCGTTCGGCGTGCGGGTTAAATAGTCACAATGGAACGTTGGACCGGAGCGCAACGTGCATTTGTTATCAAGGCTTGCTTTAAGGGTGATCTTTCTACACAGACATTGACAACCTTCGGCCTTCTGTCAAAGGGTTCATCTCACGCATTATTCCATGACCACCATTTTGTGCAATCATCAAGTGGCTTCACGATGTAATGCTTTAATGATTTTTAAATAATTTTTAATCTGTTTTTAACTTGTTCTTGTCATATTTTATATAATTTTGACCATTGTACCATCTATCCAGCTCTCACCATGTTACTGGACGTTTCCCTCATCCTATACGTAAACAACAATTAGCAACATCCTCACATACTACTGTAAGTTGAGTCAATTTAAATTCATTTTACACTATTGTTGCTACTGTTATCATTGTAATTGCAGCTCCTGATGATGATGGCAAAGTCCATTGAAAGCTAGAGAGAATTAAAAAAGTATAAAGAGTCCTCTTTGCTTAAATTTTGTCGAAGTACCCAACAAAAGGCGGAAGCTTTAATTTTTCACCTAACTGGTCTAGACGACAATGACCACGTCTCAAGTATATATATATATATATATATATATATAACTTGAGACGTGGTCATTGTCGTCTAGACCAGTTAGGTGAAAAATTAAAGCTTCCGCTTTTTGTTGGGTACTTCGACAAGATTTAAGCAAAGAGGACTCTTTATACTTTTTTAATTCTCTCTAGCTTTCAATGGACTTTGCCATCATCATCAGGAGCTGCAATTACAATGATAACAGTAGCAACAAAGGTGTAAAATGAATTTAAATTGACTCAACTTACAGTAGTATGTGAGAATGTTGCTAATTGTTGTTTACGCATATGATGAGGGAAACGTCCAGTAACATGGTGAGAGCTGAATAGGTTGCACAATAGTCAAAATTTATACAAAACATGACAAGAACACGTTAAAACAGATTAAAAATTATTTTAAAAATTAGAACATTACATCGTGAAACCACCTGATGATTGCACAAATTAGTGGTCATGGAATGATGAATTGATGAGTGACATGAAACCCTTTGACAGAAGGCCGAAGGATGTCAATGTCAGTATTGAAAGATGGAACGAATTGTGGGCGTGTGCCAAAAACGTTGCCAAATCACTTCAGATGAAGAGATTTACAGAATTTTATGATGGAATTTGTTAAACCGACCAGAGGCAGTTGAATAAACTATATTATTATTAATGGGAATTTAAATTAACAATTATTAATAAATCGTGAGGAGAGAATTATTGTATTTTGAGTGGAATGAAATTTACTGGTGGAAACGGACAAAACACAGATTCTAATTATGGTTGTGAAGAGTTGAAATTTGGGGAGATATGTAAGTTCTCCAATTTTTCGCAGTTTAGCAGATATGAGTAAATGACACTCAGTTGTTTAACATCTGTCTTTTTGTTGATACAGTTGTTATTCATGAAAATGTGGGACATTTCCAGGAATAAACGTTTGGAAAGGTGTTTTTCTTTATCAAGAACTTTGATACTTGTGTAATTCATAGAATGCCCTGTTGTGTTAACATGAGATGCTAGAGCGCATCTTTCAGGATGAAGCCTAGCATCACTTTTGTGTGATGTAATCCTTCCTTTAAGAGATCTGGAGGTCTGACCTATGTATATTTGGTTGCAGTTGTTGCAATTGATGGAGTAGACTGTGTTGGTTAAGCCAAGCAGCGGGACTTTGTCTTTCATTTTTGAAAAAATGCAGTTTATAGTGAGGACGGATTTGCAAGCAATTCGAAAGTTCAAAGGACTGCACAATCTGATAAGCTTAGGGGTCAGTTCCTTGATGTAGGGCAGGACAGCAAAACCAGGTCTGGAGTCCGGGTTGGTGCTAGTACTGTTAGGATTGATGTTATTATTGGGAATTACATCAGTTCCGTTATTGGGGGTTGTGCGACTATTACCTGCATCACCAGAGTTCGGCAAAATATTGGAAGGTGAACTAAAAATGATCTTGTTAATCAGACACTTCGGATAACCATTATTAATGAACAGTTTTGATAGTTTACGTAAATTTGAGGTGTGGAAGGTATTATCTGAGATGCTGATTACCCTTGTTTTCATCTGTTTTACCAAATTGATTTTAATCCCTAGTTTATGGTATGACCTAAAATTGAGAAACCGACCTGAGGCCATAGGTTTCTGGTACCAGTCTACCAATAAACTGTTGTTGTTGGTGCGAATGAGTCTTGTGTCTAGAAAGGGGACAGACAGGTTCTCATCTTCTTTTTCAATGGTAAATTGGATGTAGGGGTCATAGCTGTTGAATTCTCTGACAATACCATCCAGACCTATGGAAGGGAGGCATAAAATAATGTCATCTACGTATTTTTTTATGAAGAAGAGGTTATAGGGTAGTGTCGGAATAACTGTATCAAGCAGATCATCCATGACATATTCCGCCAAAATTGGTGACAGGACAGATCCCATAGGACAACCATGTGTTTGAGAATATATTTTGTTGTTGAAAGAGAAATAATTGTTATGAAAAAGGAATGTTATAATGTTGGTGAAAGATTCTAGAGATATGTTGCAGTGTTGACTTATCTCATTCCAGTGTTTATTAATAGTTCTTGTACATGCATCCAGATAGATGTTGCTGAATAGCGACACCACATCAAGACTGGCGATAATATGATCGGCTGGTATTGTCAATCTATTGAACTGACGAGAGACCTCAAATGAGTCTTTGATGTAGTAATCATTGTCTGCATGTGCTGATTTTAGTGTTGTCGATATTAATGAAGACAAAGCCTGGGTGGCTGAACCTATTGATGCAACTATAGGTCTTACTGAGAGTACAGGTTTGTGAATTTTCGGAAGTGCATAAAATTTTGGAGGGACAGAGTTATAAGTAGTCAAAGTTCTTTTTTGTTCTTGGGTTATTTGTCCAGTGCTGAGGAGTTCCTTAACAATGTCATTACTTTTCTTTTCCACTTTAAGTGTGGGATCTTTATTAATTTCATGATATGATGGGTCATCATTGATGAGATTGTTGCAAAGATCTAAATAGTGTTGTTTAAGCATTATCACTGTAACATTGCCTTTGTCAGATCTTGTAACCATAAGTTCAGGATGTTGTTTTAGAAATGTTCTGGTTATGTTTAAAAGGTTGTGATAAAAGGAATGTTTTTTATTAAGATTGTTATTATGATAGTAGTTAGTGATGAGGTTAGTGGAACGAGTTGTGAAAATGTTTCTTTCAGTGTCATCACTTATGGAGGATGCTATTGTGTCTACATCCGCTAAGATTGATCTGATTGGAATGTCATTGTTAACAATCGGCTCTACACTGAACTTAGGCCCTAAGGACATCCCTCATGACATATTAAAATTTCTTTCCTTAGGGCCTAAGTTCAGTGTAGAGCCGATTGTTAACAATGACATTCCAATCAGATCAATCTTAGCGGATGTAGACACAATAGCATCCTCCATAAGTGATGACACTGAAAGAAACATTTTCACAACTCGTTCCACTAACCTCATCACTAACTACTATCATAATAACAATCTTAATAAAAAACATTCCTTTTATCACAACCTTTTAAACATAACCAGAACATTTCTAAAACAACATCCTGAACTTATGGTTACAAGATCTGACAAAGGCAATGTTACAGTGATAATGCTTAAACAACACTATTTAGATCTTTGCAACAATCTCATCAATGATGACCCATCATATCATGAAATTAATAAAGATCCCACACTTAAAGTGGAAAAGAAAAGTAATGACATTGTTAAGGAACTCCTCAGCACTGGACAAATAACCCAAGAACAAAAAAGAACTTTGACTACTTATAACTCTGTCCCTCCAAAATTTTATGCACTTCCGAAAATTCACAAACCTGTACTCTCAGTAAGACCTATAGTTGCATCAATAGGTTCAGCCACCCAGGCTTTGTCTTCATTAATATCGACAACACTAAAATCAGCACATGCAGACAATGATTACTACATCAAAGACTCATTTGAGGTCTCTCGTCAGTTCAATAGATTGACAATACCAGCCGATCATATTATCGCCAGTCTTGATGTGGTGTCGCTATTCAGCAACATCTATCTGGATGCATGTACAAGAACTATTAATAAACACTGGAATGAGATAAGTCAACACTGCAACATATCTCTAGAATCTTTCACCAACATTATAACATTCCTTTTTCATAACAATTATTTCTCTTTCAACAACAAAATATATTCTCAAACACATGGTTGTCCTATGGGATCTGTCCTGTCACCAATTTTGGCGGAATATGTCATGGATGATCTGCTTGATACAGTTATTCCGACACTACCCTATAACCTCTTCTTCATAAAAAAATACGTAGATGACATTATTTTATGCCTCCCTTCCATAGGTCTGGATGGTATTGTCAGAGAATTCAACAGCTATGACCCCTACATCCAATTTACCATTGAAAAAGAAGATGAGAACCTGTCTGTCCCCTTTCTAGACACAAGACTCATTCGCACCAACAACAACAGTTTATTGGTAGACTGGTACCAGAAACCTATGGCCTCAGGTCGGTTTCTCAATTTTAGGTCATACCATAAACTAGGGATTAAAATCAATTTGGTAAAACAGATGAAAACAAGGGTAATCAGCATCTCAGATAATACCTTCCACACCTCAAATTTACGTAAACTATCAAAACTGTTCATTAATAATGGTTATCCGAAGTGTCTGATTAACAAGATCATTTTTAGTTCACCTTCCAATATTTTGCCGAACTCTGGTGATGCAGGTAATAGTCGCACAACCCCCAATAACGGAACTGATGTAATTCCCAATAATAACATCAATCCTAACAGTACTAGCACCAACCCGGACTCCAGACCTGGTTTTGCTGTCCTGCCCTACATCAAGGAACTGACCCCTAAGCTTATCAGATTGTGCAGTCCTTTGAACTTTCGAATTGCTTGCAAATCCGTCCTCACTATAAACTGCATTTTTTCAAAAATGAAAGACAAAGTCCCGCTGCTTGGCTTAACCAACACAGTCTACTCCATCAATTGCAACAACTGCAACCAAATATACATAGGTCAGACCTCCAGATCTCTTAAAGGAAGGATTACATCACACAAAAGTGATGCTAGGCTTCATCCTGAAAGATGCGCTCTAGCATCTCATGTTAACACAACAGGGCATTCTATGAATTACACAAGTATCAAAGTTCTTGATAAAGAAAAACACCTTTCCAAACGTTTATTCCTGGAAATGTCCCACATTTTCATGAATAACAACTGTATCAACAAAAAGACAGATGTTAAACAACTGAGTGTCATTTACTCATATCTGCTAAACTGCGAAAAATTGGAGAACTTACATATCTCCCCAAATTTCAACTCTTCACAACCATAATTAGAATCTGTGTTTTGTCCGTTTCCACCAGTAAATTTCATTCCACTCAAAATACAATAATTCTCTCCTCACGATTTATTAATAATTGTTAATTTAAATTCCCATTAATAATAATATAGTTTATTCAACTGCCTCTGGTCGGTTTAACAAATTCCATCATAAAATTCTGTAAATCTCTTCATCTGAAGTGATTTGGCAACGTTTTTGGCACACGCCCACAATTCGTTCCATCTTTCAATACTGACATTGACATCCTTCGGCCTTCTGTCAAAGGGTTTCATGTCACTCATCAATTCATCATTCCATGACCACTAATTTGTGCAATCATCAGGTGGTTTCACGATGTAATGTTCTAATTTTTAAAATAATTTTTAATCTGTTTTAACGTGTTCTTGTCATGTTTTGTATAAATTTTGACTATTGTGCAACCTATTCAGCTCTCACCATGTTACTGGACGTTTCCCTCATCATATGCGTAAACAACAATTAGCAACATTCTCACATACTACTGTAAGTTGAGTCAATTTAAATTCATTTTACACCTTTGTTGCTACTGTTATCATTGTAATTGCAGCTCCTGATGATGATGGCAAAGTCCATTGAAAGCTAGAGAGAATTAAAAAAGTATAAAGAGTCCTCTTTGCTTAAATCTTGTCGAAGTACCCAACAAAAAGCGGAAGCTTTAATTTTTCACCTATATATATATATATATATACAGAATGATCTAGATGAAAATACGTCCCCCAAGAAATCAAAATTGGCGTGTTCGAACGTTTTCCGAAAATACACCAGAAGAGTCACAAATGGGGGTGCGACCTTTTCGTTGAGCCACCCTGTATGTATCATATAAAATACCGGAAAAAAACTGAGATTTCGATTTTATAATTTTCCACGTGTTAGCAGAGAAAGTAAAATAAGTGAAACTTCGCAAGACCTGACAACAGTGCACGCGATTGCGTCATAATTAAAATAGGCCTCATATTGAATTCAATTTTCTTGGAGAGTGTTGTGTGTGAAACGAAGTTGCTTGAATTATTTAGGGCTGCTTTGTGTAGTCGACGGGTGAGAGTTTTGGAGAAGCACTTCGATCGGAAGTGTGATGTTAAGTAAATTGACTACGTCCTCAAGGTGTTCTAACAGCTTAGATTAGATTGGGAGATGCGAACTTATTAAAAGATACAGGAAATAAATGTTTGGAAACTTTCGAGAATGACAAAAGTTAGGCGTTTGGCACTGGAAAAGTAAAACCCATGAAACTCACCTTTTGAAGCACAAATGCTTGTTTAATGATTGCACAACCTGCAAATCTAAATGAAATGGGACACATTTGTGTTCATAGGCGCTCATACATTGCGACACAAAAGTCCCGGAATGGCTCTGTAGTGTCTCGGGTAAACTATTTTTGGAAAAAATCGAGGTCAAGTCTTCTGTAACTATCAGCAAGGAATTCAACGGTGACCCCTAATTTGACCTTGACCTTCAACTTTATTTTTTTCAAATAGAAACTCCTGTCTTTGATGCCGACAGTCGGAAGCACAGGAAATTTTACGTTCAAACCCTAGCAAGATCCAATGTCACGATTCTTTTATGCTCCAGCGACCACGAAGGCCTTAGGCCTAAACATCCATGGGGTACCGTGGGGCTATAGACAGGATTGGCAGAGTCCTGAAGGGACATGACATTAAAACAATCTTCAAGCCTACGAAGACGATCCTACAAACCATCAGATCGGCAAAGGACAAAAAGGACCCACTCCCAGCTGCAGTCTACATCCAGCATCGGAAATGGAAGGACCTCTGAAGAAGCTTGCCACTCGTGCAAGCGAAACGTTAGCAGTTTATCAACTGGCCGCGAAAGCCTTAAACAATTTGTATACTCACATTGCTGGCTGTCCCCTTGGGCACATTGTCATATGGTCCTACGATCACTGATGGAAATTTGCTGAATACAATCGGCTCCTTGGGATAAGGTGCACCTACTTTGTCTGCAAAGTCCTTGAAATTCAGGGCCACCCCCAATACTTTGTCAGGATTCGTTATAGGCGATACCAGTTTGACCTCATCAACTAAATGGTGCTTGACGGACTTAGCTGCCAGTCTAGGAACATACAAAAAAACATTTGGAAAAATAGACGGATATATTTTAGAGGGTGATTTCTTGTTAAAAAACACGAAAAAAGGTTTTTATAAACTGGGTTCCATAAATGCAGGGTTTTCAAGTTACGTGGTGATAAATTAAAAAAGAAATAACTTTAAAAATATTTACGCGACTCTGTCGACGTTTGGTAGTATTGTTTGTTGTATTAAGACGCTAATTTAGCATTTAAAAAAATAAAATTAATAGGTCCAGTGGCATCCCTTGAGACACCTCAGAGAATATTATTGGCAAAAAACTATACGCCACTACTATTTTTTGTAACTTCAATATTAGATGTATACTAAGTGACATATAAATCCGAACGCCCAGTTTAAATGGTTTTATTTTAATAAAAGTTGGTGAATGTATTTATCTTACTGTAAATAACAAGTGAAAAAATGTTCAGCCTTATCAGTTGGACATTCCGGTTTTTATACTGCTTTTAGCCGCAGTAAAGAATCAACGTTGGCGGATTTTGGTTCTTGACATCCTTTACGATCGGTTACGATGCCTAGAGTACGGAGACCTGTACGATTTCGTCAACTTAGTGAGTTTGATAGGGGCCGTATAGTGGGACTTCGGGAAGCGGGACTTTCTTTTCGGGCAATTGCAGTTAGAGTGCAAAGAAGTGTAGACACTGTGGTTAGGTGTTGTCAGGCATGACTTCGAGAAGGCCTTACGCAAAGAGCAAGGGGCCGTAGAACAACAGACCGTGAAGATCGCCGCCTAAGATTATTGGCCTTAAGGGACCGTTTCTCCACTACCACGTCCATTGCAAATGAATGGTTTGCAGAACACGGAAGACCTATTGGCATGCGAAGTGTTTACCGACGAATGAGAAGTTTTGGCTTGTTTTCATACCGGCCACACTGGGTCCTCCCTTTAACTCGACAACACCGACGTAATCGCCTTGAGTGGTACAGACAACGGTCACTCTGGGATCAGGAATGGAACAGTATTGTCTTTAGTGACGAGTCTTGATTTTGTTTAGGCATGCACGATGGTCGTGCCAGGGTTAGAAGGCGACGTGGTGAAAGGAGGAATCCACAGTTTTTTGTTGAAAGACATGTTCATCACACTGTTGGAGTTAATCAACAATTTATTTATTTCCAAAGATGATGTGGTATTTCAGGGAATTAAACCATTCCATAAAGGACCTGCTAACATCCGAAAGGATAGCTTGAAAACCCTTATGTGTCTAGTGTTGAAAAAAGCTTTTAAAAATTGAATCCAATCTTGTACAAATATACAGGGTGATGAATTGGAAATTTTTGAGAAATACTAAAATTTGCGTTTTTGACCACCCTGTATGACCAAAAGTTAAAATTCGAAAAAGTAACATATGAGATGAAGGCTGAGGTGTATAAGTTTTTTTTTTATACAAAACTCAGCACTTCAAATTTTAAAATGGCGGACTGTGAGATTGCCGAAGTGGGGAGTTTTTCTAGACAAAACACCTTATATCTCAGTAGCTAATTACCGAAACCCCATAGTATGTTATATCAATTTTCTTCTTTTAAAATTGGTTTATCCAATTATGTAATAAAATTTAAGGCATTCCTTTGAAAAATAACAACTTTGATATGCATGTCGAAATTGGGACACCCTGTATAATGTCCAATATTTTAGAAATACGCCCTTAAATGTCATGTATGACATCCCATACATAGATTTACCCAAAATGTGTTTGTTTATGAATAATATTCCGTTCACACATGGATGGGCCACCCTGTATAATTCCGCAGAAGATAAATGGTCACGCTATATTTTACCATATCGAATTAGACAGTATCGTGCAAACTTTGAAGAATTTACTTACTTCTTAATAGTTTCCAGAGCACCTTCCTGCTGCAATATCCCCACAAGCGTATTAGGCAACGATTTATCTCCCGCGTTGATGTCTATTACGGTATCTCCCTTTATGACACCGACTCTCACCGTTGGATCATTCTCGGTTTTGAACTGTACTATGCGCATCTTTGTCAAGTTTCCGCACACACTTTGACTATACCTCCGAGTGAGATTTACTAAATTCATGTGTCTTTTGGCTAAAATGACGGCACTTGAAATGTGATCAGTTGATAGGCTTACATTTGACCTGTAAACAACGCGAAGTAAACTCGACATTCGGAATGTAGATTAATATATGCGACCTTGTTGATAAGATGTTACACAATAATTATTATTGTTTCCATCTTATTATTGTGGCTATTGAAGCGTTATCGAGGCAAGTGACATGTTTCAGATTATATGGGGCTGTAAAAAACGGACGCAGGAAAGTAAACGCATATTAAAACAAGAAAGATTGATATTCAAATCAAGTTGGTTACTTTATTTTGAAGGTTCATTTATACCATTTATGTATGAAAAATAATCTCGCTCAAATGTTTACCACGACTGGATTTACAGACGTCCACGCGATGGTCGAAATTTTCTATGACATTTTGCAACATGGTCGGTTCTATGGCATTTATCTCGGCAATGATGTTGTTTTTGAGTTCTTGGAGGGTGGCTGGTTTGTTGACGTAGACTTTGCTTTTCAAATATCTCCATAAAAAGAAGTCCAAGGGAGTCAAATCGCACGATCTTGGTGGCCATGGCACATTTCCTCTGCGCGAAATCACGCGATCATATTGCATATTGCACCGTCTTGTTGGAAATAAACATCGTCCATATCTATTCCTTCAAGTTGCGGCAAAAAATAGTCCTCTATCATCACGTGATATCGCTCAGAATTGACGGTAACGGCGTTCCCGGCCGCATTTTCGAAAAAGTAAGGTCCGATGATGCCTTTTGACCACAATGCACACCACACAGTCACTTTTTGAGGATGCATCGGCTGCTCTTGATACTCACGGGGATTTTCGTTCGCCCAGATGCGGCAGTTTTGCTTGTTTACCGTCCCATTCAAAGTGAAATGCGCTTCGTCGCTGAACATGATTTTTGATGAAAAATTGGCATCAATTTGGCGGTGTTCAAGGAGCCAATCTGAGAACGTTCGGCGCGAAAAATGGTCGGTCCGACGCAGCTCTTGCGTCAGTTGGATCTTGTAGGAAATGCCCAATTCTTGGGATCGACGCGTTGTTGATTGTTTCGGATCGTCTCTCACACTCTCCTTCACAACAGCAATATTTTCCGGTGTGCGAACGCTCCTTGGCCAGCCAGAGCCTGGCAGATTTGCCACAGAACCTGTTGCCTCGAATTTACGCACCAGACGACCGATGGTTGTTTCGTTTGGGCGGTTGTTGCGACCGAAATGTTCACGAAGCGCGCGAAACGTGTTTTTTATTTTTGCACCATTTTTGTTGTGCTCTTGAATAACTTTAAAGCGGTCTTCAATCGAATACGACTCCATAGCGATCAATGGTAAACATTCAACTATCAAAATGACATGTCGGTGACAGAAAACAAAGATGGCGTCTATGTCAAATTGACGTTTACTTTCCTGCGTGCCTATTGGACAACCCTTTAGTTGACTTTGATTGATGGGTCAATTCCACCATGCTGTTTTTAAACATAGTGCAATGTTTCAGTGTTTGTGCCAAATTTCACAATGTAGATTCAAACATTGTCAAAGTGACATTGAATCTTGGCTACCCAGAAAACATGTGATTCAGCTGAACCAGTGCTAGCATGAATACAAAAACATTTGTAACTCTGTGCCCCAATACCTGATGCTTCGTTCTCTCCGCCATCAAGCAAATATATTTTATAATTTTCGACTGACCATGCTATTTTATTTTAAATTCGCTTTAGTACTGCTCCTAGAATACCATTTTGTTTTAATATAATTACCAGAAAGATAAATAAATCATACTGATGACATTCGTAGGGCTACAAGTCTTGTCCATGAAGTCAGAAACGCACTGCTCGAATTCCGTAACGAGCAATGGGGCGACTTTCTGGCGGGAATGCTTGATTCAAATATTTCTCTCTGGAGGGTAGCAAAGTCACTCAAAAACGGAAAGCCAGAACAACTCCCGCACATCCTTCGGTCCTGAAGGCATGGTCTTCAGAACGGAGGATAAGGTCGAGGTTTTCGCTGATGCTATGGAAAAAAACAGTTCTCTCCCAACTATGATCTTGACCTCGACGAGGAACATCACATCGTACGGTCAGTCAGGAGATGTTTTAGGGCCAACGGCGTTAGCGGAGGCACTGAATCCTCTTCAGATGACTCTTCTTCAGAAGATTCGTCTGAGGTTCCACATTGCACACCAGCGGAGCTCCTAAGTCATATTAAAGACCTCAAGGTGCGTAAATCGTTGAGGAGGATGAAATTACCAATAAGACGTTGAAGCTACTCTCGCCGAAAGCACTCACATATTTGGTGACAATAATCAATGCGATGCTCAGAATCCAGTACTTCCTAGCTGGGTGGAAGACTGCTGAGGTCATCGTGATTCCAAAGAAGGTGGGTTCGATATTTCTTCAGGATTACCGTCAGCTGTCAGCTCCTTCTAACCTCGACGAAAAGGTGATTTGTCTCCATCTTTAGAATTTTTCGTCAAATCACCATGTGATTCCTGACGTTCAATTCGGTTTTCGGTTCGAGCAGAGCACCGAGCTACAGGCAGTCAGGCTGGTGTAACATGCAACCAGAGGATTCTCCCTCAGCATGAGTACTGGCATCTTGCTTTTGGATGTCTCAAAAGCCTTTGACAAGACGTGGTACGCGGCCCTCTTCTATAAACTAATCCAAAACGGTTTTCCTTTTTATCCATGATGTCCTTTGTCCCAGCAACTGTGAAGTCTACTTCTATGGTGACGACACCGCACTTGTCGCCCAGTCGTGTACTGGTGATGTGGTTCACGATGGGTTGCAGAGTGCGGTGGACGAAGTACTAGAGTGAGCGGAACGGTGGCTGATTTAAATTAATCATTCCAAAACGCAGGCTCTTTATTGTACGAAAAAACGTCGCGGCCCCCCAGCAGACGTTTCTGTAGACGGCAATCGTGTACCATGGACAAATTCTGCCAAGTACAAGGCCACTACTTACACTGCAATCAAAGATTAGCGCAAACTTTTAGTAATCTTAAAATTACACTCTAACAAAGCCGAATCAAAATTTGTTTAGTTCACCTCAAAATTAATCTGAGTACCAACCAAAAAGCCTAGGGGTTTCCTCTTAAACTAAAGACTACTGTTTTTCTTTGCTCTTTTCATTTTTTCTTCTCTTTCCCTTTCCCTTTTTCCTTGACATTTTCTGGTTTCTGGGCAACCAGTACTGGCAGATTCGACTAGCGTACATTAGACAGTGACTAATAGGCAAAGATCCTACGGATCGCCCAGACAAACAAATGACGATTAGTAGATAAATAAACTCTTAAGAGGTAGTTTGCTCTATTTGCTTCTCGTAAGAGCCATCTGAGAGCAAAAATACAAAACAGTTAAAGCCATAATGAAACAAATTGAAGAACAAAATTGCTGCACAAGGGTGCACCCTTCTTGGGTTCTACAAACGTTGTGGCCGATCAGTCACCGTGCCCCCCAATGGGTGTTTAGGCCTTAGGCCTTCGTGGTAGTTGGAGTATAAAAAAATTTATAGAACGTAAATTGTTATAACATAATAGTTATTTATTATACATTTAAAAACAAAATTCATTATGACAAAACTGCAAAACATAGGTCAGACTTCAAGGAAGGAGACAGTGTTATCATCAGGTCAGATCGAGAAAAATACTCGGTAACAGGGGAGATAGTAGGTAAATGTGATAGCCCTAGGTCTTACATGGTGCGTGACAACCTTGGAAGGGTTTTAGAAGGAACTCTTTTCTTTTTTAAGACATTCTCCTGGTACTCAAGATGATTTTGATAATATTCGATATGAACCTTGCTCCTTAAAGGGAACAGAGTCACGAAGTAATGATTTGAATCCAATGATTATAATGAACCAACTGTTTCAACCTCGATTGTATTTAGTAACCAGAACTGTAACAATATATCCTATGTAAACAACAACACTTTGAGAACAAGATCTGGCAGAGCTGTGAGAAAACCGGTCGGATATAGATAGTAGTTTAAGTATCCAATGTGAAGTAATATTTTAAGTTTCATGCATAGAATGTAAAAAAAACAATATTGTAAAAAGGGGGGAGATAAAGGCTTAACTTCTTGGACACAATTCTTTGTCGCAGGTCTTCTAATGATGTTGGCTGAGTAGCACAGATTTTGCATTTTAAATGACCCCACATAAAGAAATCCAAAGGTGATCAATCTGGCGATCTTGGGGACCATTCAATGGCACCTCTTCTACCAATCCATCGATCTGGAAACGTCTGATCTAAATATTGTCGAACACGTAATGCGTAATGTGGTGGGGCACCATCCTGTTGGAACATCAACCTATTCGCAATGTACCGCCGATCATTCTGATTTTCAATTATGGCTGTTAATGCAGGATCTATGGCGTCTTCCAGTAATTCCAAATACATTTCACCGGTCAAATTTCCAGGCAAGAAAAAAGGACCAACTAAATGGTCGCCAAAAATACCAGCCCAAACACTTAATTTTTATGGCTGCTGTGTATGAACCTCATGACAAATTCTGGGATTAGAATCGGACCAATATCGGAAGTTTACTACGCCATTTAAGAAAAAGGAAAATTCGTCGGAAAATCAAGTGTTGAATAGAAAATGTTCATCGTTTATAATTCGTTAACTCATATCTTCACAAAATTGTAATCGCCGATCAAAATCGTCTTCATTAAGTTCTTGTGCCAGGTGAATTTTATACGGATGAAAACTATGGGCCTTTAGAATCCGTTGAACAGTACTTCGACTAATACCACACACAGTCTCCAATTTGCGGGTACTTAACGTAGGATCTACATAAACTTTCGTTCCTTTTGGGATTTTCAATGTTGCGTTTTTTATTGGCGACTGACCCAATTTCCCGAAATTTAGCTACAAGTTCTAGAACATTTTCGATGCGCGTTACCGTTCTCGTGTCGCTTATTAAATATTTCTGGTGTTCTATTAGCGCACTGATTATTTCCGAAAAATATGTTGATAATTTCAACTCTTTCTGCTGTGGAATATACCATGGTTAATTTATGTAATAAAGCGTTACAAGTTATTTTAGCAACAAAGTTTGGTCAAAACAATTGCAAACTATGTACTAAATTCATATTTAAAATAAGTACGAGAGATTTCCTTATCTGTCTTCAAGAAATAACTTTTTTGCCGCAAAAAACGCTCCAATAGCTATTTTCAACAACAAAATGATAAACAAACCATGGGCGTAGTCAAGAAAAGCATTTACTTATTAAGTAAATTCTTTTAGTCAAATTTCTTCTGAAAGTAGTACAAACTAATCTGATGTACCTAATAAAGTCTACTTTAAGCTTTAAATCAATAAATCTTCAAAACTACTGAACTGAAGCTCATGTATTTTACATCGTTATAAAGTGAATTGAAAGACCTTTAAAATGAGATATTACTCGAACCCCCTTTCCATTAAAGATTTTAGCACCAACCTACTAATCTCCACTACCCGTGTCCCGCGCTCCCGTGCCTGTCACTTGCCACGCGGTTTTGAAATTCTTTCTGGTCCTCCCTGTATAATGGTACTTGGTACTTGGACTAAATCTATTCGATGTTGTACCTACACAGTCTAAGCGGTATCAGTGAAAAGAACAAGATACAGTGACTAGAAAGTTGGAAACTGATACGATATCCAAATAGGTATATTTTTAACGCTTTTGTATAGAAACATGCATTGAAGATGTATCCTGTATAGTATTTGACCACGCATTGCAAGGTTAAGTATCATAAAAAAGGCTGATAAAGGGATAACCGTAAATTGAGCATTTATGTATATCGTACTTCAAGAGGTCTGTGCGAAGATGCTAGGTATATTTCATGAGATTAGTGAGAGAAGGTACACCGTAGCGTTAAGAGGCAAGCTTAACCCACTTTCAGCGCATTAATATTTATGGAAATTGTTATGCAAAATATTCGACTCGCCAGTTCCCTGATAATGCTGAGGTGAGGTTTAGTCGTATGACAGAAAAGGGAAATTGGACATTGTCTCATATTTCATGAAATCAAATCAAATTATACTAAGTGACATATAAATCCGAACACCCAGTTTAAATGGTTTTATTTTAATAAAATTTTGCATAAGTTCTTAATGAAGCATAATAAGTAAATGATAAAAATTTCAAAATGATTGCACTGCTTTAAAGCCCTTTGATCTTTAATAATGTGTGGATGCACCCTGATGTGCTACGCATTCTCCAACGCGCCTAGGCATGCTTCTGATCAGGTGGTCAATGTCCTCCTGTGGTATCTCATTCCAGGCAACCATCAACTCCTCTCGAAGTGCTTCTAGAGTCTGAGGAGGACGTTGCAAATTGAGCAATCTCCTAGCCATCATATCCCACACGTGCTCAATTGGGGATAAGTCGGGAGATCTTGGTGGCTATGGTAACAATGTGACATCATTATGTTGAAAGAAGTCTATTGTGACTCTTGCAACATGTGGTCGGGCATTATCTTGTTGGAAAGTTGGATCTGCCAGGGTGTCAAGATAGGGTAAAAGATGGGGTTCTAGAATTTCGTGGATATAACGCTGCGCGTTCATGTTACCTCTGATGAAGATTAAAGGTGACCTGGAACCATAAGCTATATCACCCCAAACCATTACTCCAACAGTGTGATGAACATGTCTTTCAACAAAAAACTGTGGAGTCCTCCTTTCACCACATCGCCTTCTAACCCTGGCACGACCATCGTGCATGCCTAAACAAAATCGAGACTCGTCGCTAAAGACAATACTGTTCCATTCTTGATCCCAGAGTGACCGTTGTCTGCACCACTCAAGGCGATTACGTCGGTGTTCTCGAGTTAAAGGGAGGACCCAGTTTGGCCGGTATGAAAACAAGCCAAAACTCCTCATTCGTCGGTAAACACTTCGCATGCCAATAGGTCTTCCGTGTTCTGCAAACCATTCATTTGCAATGGACCTGGTAGTGGAGAAACGGTCCCTTAAGGCCAATAATCTTAGGCGGCGATCTTCACGGTCTGTTGTTCTACGGCGGCGTCCAGTGCCCCTTGCTGTTTGCGTACGGCCTTCTCGAAGCCATGCCTGACAACACCTAACCACAGTGTCTACACTTCTTTGCACTCTAACTGCAATTGCCCGAAAAGAAAGTCCAGCTTCCCGAAGTCCCACTATACGGCCCCTATCAAACTCACTAAGTTGACGAAATCGTACAGGTCTCCGTACTCTAGGCATCATAACCGATCGTAAAGGATGTCAAGAACCAAAATCCGCCAACGTTGATTCTTTACTGCGGCTTAAATATTCATTTTTAGAGCGTTAGTGAATTAAAAAAAAACAGTATAAAAACCGAAATGTCCAACTGATAAGGCTGAAAATTTTTTCACTTGTTATTTACAGTATTATAAATACATTCACCAACTTTTATTAAAATAAAACCATTTAAACTGGGTGTTCGGATTTATATGTCACTTAGTATATTTATTCATGCAACGTGAGGTTTTAGCACAACAATCAATGACTGATAGTGTCAAAAGCGTTGGAAAATCCAAAAGAACAAGAGCGCGGGGGCTTTCCCAGCAAATAACTTGTTGATCAGTTAGCCTCATTTAGTAAGCGAAAACTGGCACAAAGGTTCAAATCGAAAATCCAACATATTTTTTTCAAACACGGTACGAACAGTTTCGCAATTCCGGATATATCAAATTGGTGCGAATGGAATTGCCCATAGGGAGACCGCAATAGGCAGGCCGTTAGCATGTTCCGACACACCTGTGGGATGTGATTTTCCATATTGGCTGTTACCACGTAATTCTCAGAATTTAATATTGTAACCTATGACCTTTTAACTTGATCTGAATCCGTAACATACTAATTGCAGACATTGAATATGGAGAACATAATCTGGAATGTTTGGCTATAGTTAATCTTTGCATATCTAGTCCACTCAAAAAGTGCTCGCATCTCTTTTTATGAAGGATTCATAAGCTTAGCTTTGTCATTCCTCCCAATTTTTTTTTTAACTTTGGCGTCTCAGATAATGAAAACGCAGTCGAAACAAATAATCATTACGTTATGTTCTCTGGATCCTATTGATGACGTTTCGATGGACAGCGTTGTACAGACTCAGGATGTGAAACAGAAGCCCTATGGATCCATCTAGGCGGTGTAGCTGAAACAACAAAATCCCCAAACATTCATTATGACAAAACTGCAAAATATAGGTCAGACTTCAAGGAATGAGACAGTGTTATAATCAGGTCAGATCCAGAAAAATACTGGATACCAGGGAAGATAGTAATAAATGTGATAGCCCTAGGTCTTACATGGTGTAGCTGAAACAACAAAATCCCAAACATTTGGACACTTGGACCTTGTTTGGGACTTGTACAGAGAAGGGAGGTTGTTTCGCAAAAAGTACCTTCTAGTCCGAATCTGAAAGACTGTGTGTGTGTGTGTGTGTGTATGAGAGAGACAACAGATGTTATCACAGTTGTTCTTACCCCGCTCCACGTTTAGCATAAAAGCAACAATATTAACAGTGATTAATCAGTATCACCAGTTTATCAAGTCCGTTGACATACGCACAGACAAATAATGTTTGTCTTTGACGTACAAGCATTTAGTTACGGTACCAGAATTGGCAATGCTAAATACAACAACTGGTCAACGTTTTCACAGAATGGTGAATATGCCTATTGATTTTACCCTGTTAAATAAAACTGTTCAATGTCGCTTGGGATATGTCGAGAAATCTGCACTGGTTGGAGTGGACCAGTCAAAATGAAGATTTCCTCGGTTTTGAACACTCTGAATGTGTATTCTGCTCTTTATCATTTTCACTAGAGTCACTATAACACTTACGAGAATCGATGGGCTTCACGTCAATCAGTTGGATCAGCAAAATTCATCAATAGTGACAGTTGATAATTGTACATTTCATATTGCCGATTGACGACTTTATTTGTATTTTAACACCAATTAAAGATGCAAATGATAAGGTTGTTGATTATACAGGGTGGCGCATCAAAAACAAAACAGACGCATTTACTAGCAGCTCAGTTGTTTTTTTTGGAAAAACGCTCAGACCCGTCGATTTGGTTTTCGAGGGGGACACAAGTTTGGCAAAAAATCACGTTAACCCGTGCAGCCCCCTAGGCGGGGGTGACACCACTCCTAAAATCTTAAATGGAAAGGGGGGTCGAGTGATACCTTATTTTAAATGTATTTCAATTCCCTTTATAATGATGTAAAATACATGAGCTTCAGTTCAGTAGTTTTGAAGATTTATTGATTTAAAGCTTAAAGTAGACTTTATTAGGTACATCAGATTAGTTTGTACTACTTTCAGAAGAAATTTGACTAAAAGAATTTACTCAATAAGTAAATGCATTTCTTCACTACGTTCTAACGTGATTTTTTGCCAAACTTGTGTCCCCCTCGAAAACAAAATCGACGGGCCTGAGCGTTTTTCCAAAAAACGAACTGAGCTGCCAGTAAATGCGTGTTTCATTTTCGATGCGCCACCCTGTATAATTCGAAATTTAAACTATTATCCACTCGTATCAAGAAAAAACGTGATAATGCATTGTGGGCGCTATTGACTTAAAAATACAATTAATGATTCAAGTTATCACTCCGATTCAACTAGAAATCATCTCTCAGGTCACGTGATCTTTAAAGGATTTGGATTATCAGTGTAGCACTTTGAACGCAATTTTGTTAATCTTGTTTGCTTATAGAAATGCCCTTAGTCTAAAATGAACCTTTTGTTTCAGACTGAAAGGCTTTTTGAGCTTGGACGTGGACGTTTCTCACCTGGAAGTGAACCAATGTGATATCGGTAGTAGCGAAAATGAAATTGCAGTTTTCCATGGATCTCATAAGTGCGACAACAATACGTCAATGGTAAGTTTTCGTTCAACAGTATGTCTTATTAGATTCTGAGAGTGAGTATCACAGACTATTTTTTTACACGAAGATATATTAGTAACATATATTTTGTCAAATATCAGTGGTGTACGTCTCCCCATCGTATATAACATTAATAAAAACTGTCTGAACTTGTCAACAACTCCTAAAATTGATTCAACGGCAACAGGCTAAAATAATTCGAAATCCTAAGAGAAAGAAGCGGATACAGCATTAGGGGACGTTGTGACGATCTGCGTATTCAGTGTGTCATGGAGCAAACGAAAGGGCATGATCAGGCAAAAAAAACCATAGATAGGGTGTTCCTTAATGATATGCAAATATTTAAGGGTGTGAATCTACATGAAAAATTAATGTTAGTTTGCTTTATAAACTATCCAAAAATGTTTCCTTACACAAACTCGGGGTGTTGAAGTTTTAAAAAAAAATGGAAATTAATTAATATTTTCGGAACCGCTTCAGATATTTCACTGATATTTAGTACGTAGTGAAAGTTAATAAAGTTTCATATTTTTCAATGCAAAAATAATTTTTAGCTTTAATAGTGGCGTGCGTACGGGAATTGACTTCGATATATTTTAAGAAAAAAATGGTACGCCAATAGTTTTTTGCCAAACAAAAATCATTTTTGAATTCAATTTAAAACAAATCATCTGTCTCGAATTGTTTTCCTTTGTTGCGCTATTTTTGAGTAAAAAGATAAAAACCGTTATACTGTCTAACTTGCAAAATTATTATTAATTTAATTGGAAAAATTAAACATATTAGGGGTAATGAACAACAACTGACAACATAAACATAACACTAAAACCAACGAAATGATTACAAAAATTGTTGAAAATGTCTCCGCCCTCCTCATGGAATTGCGCACTCGTTGAAATATCCCTGGAGTGTTTTTTATTCTATCACGACCTGCAACTATTCTTTCTCTTAATTCCTCTACAGTGTTAATGGGACTTGTGTACGCTAGTGTCTTGAGATAGCCCCACAAAGAGAAATCCGAACTGTCGAGGTCTGAGGACTTTGGTGGCCATTCTTGGAGCTCACCAAATTTGGTGAAAACTTACCATTTTACGTACCCAACACACTGTAATTTTTTGGAATTGAAAATTTCATTTGTTCACTTTATTTTGATTTATTATCGAAAAAGCACCCTAATTTCCAATCGAAAATTGACGCGTCAAAATATCAGCCTTTCTAAAAAAGTCGGTGAGCTTTTTGTTTGTTGAAATCTCTACTTTTTGATAGTGTAAAAAAATTATATATGTAAGATGTTTTCAAAAAATGCAAAAAACGAAAAAGCTGGAATCGAAAAATTATTTTTTAATCATTATGTACAATTTTGGGCTATTTATTAAAATTAACACTGTAGTTACTCATGTAGCGTAAGATTTTTCTTATATTACATTGATACATAAAAAAATGGTAAGAAAATATGCGAAAATAGTTCTTCAAAATATTCAATATGGGATTTAATGGGAATTTCGTCTAGAAAATGTGACTGCTACAATTATTTTTCAAAAAAAGCTGGTTCATTACCGTTTAATTACACTTTGGCTATAAAAAATTTTATAATATATATATATATATATATATATATAACTTGAGACGTGGTCATTGTCGTCTAGACCAGTTAGGTGAAAAATTAAAGCTTCCGCCTTTTGTTGGGTACAGAAATTTTAAGCAAAGAGGACTCTTTTTACTTTTTTTATTCTCTCTAGCTTTCAATGGACTTTGCCATCATCATCAGGAGCTGCAATTACATTGATAATTTTTTTTTAATTGATTGTAAGGCTTTCATGTTCTAAAAAATTTTTAATCTGTTTTTAACTTGTTCTTGTCACACAGTTGTGTGTATTTTATATAATTTTGACCATTGTACCATTTATCCAGCTGTCACCATGTGGGTGTTTCCCTCATCCTGAACGTAAACAACAATTAGCAATATCCTCACATACTACTGTAAGTTAAGTTAATTTAAATTCATTTTACACTATTGTTGCTACTGTTATCAATGTAATTGCAGCTCCTGATGATGATAGCAAAGTCCATTGAAAGCTAGAGAGAATAAAAAAGGTATAAAGAGTCCTCTTTGCTTAATATATATATATATATAGTAGTCATAGTTAATTGCCTTAACTGTTACGAGAAGATACCCTTAAATTTCTTCGGGATGAAGGCAAAGTTTTGCATAAGTACCCCCTTTCAACTTGAACACGAGCTTTCGATGGACTATGCCATCATCGTCCGGAGCTAAAAAAAATAAATAAAAAATAGCAACAATAAACAAATAGGAGAAAAATCATTACTTACAAAGTCGGCTGTTGCTGAAATTGTTCTTAAGCGACAGTGAAAAATAATACATATTCGACGAAAAAAAAACTGGAATATATATATACTCATTATATATATACTCATATATATATATGTGTGTATTGCGGCCACTTTTTTATCCATCCTACGAGCATTATGTGTATTTTTCTTCATTACTTTTACACACAACATTCAAAAAAAACTTGCAAAGTTTTATGTACATCCTTAAAAAGGTTGGCTTCATTTAACTCTGGAATTTCGTAGTAAGTATACTTTAGAACATATATCTTCTAAAACAATTTCAGCAGCCATTTGGACAATTCTAGTTCGTTCATCTTCTTTTCTTAATAATCTTTTTTCGTATCAGTCTTTGCAGAGTTTCTGACTTGCAGTACCATTTTTGTATAAAATTATCATATCTCTTTTGATTAAGTGACACTCGATATCGTTCTGAAAAACTTTTTCGATTTGGTCTTAATAGTTATGTAGTCTGGGAGATCTCCTGAAAAACTCTATTTTACTTCATTGACCACTTTTTCTTTCAGTTCTTTAGTTCTTTTATTATAAAAAGTAGACATAAAAGCAGTGTCATAATGCGCTTTTACTGCGGCCAAGTCAGGAACATTCCTCAAACGGGCTGAAATGTTTTTATCGAAATCATTTAATGTGTTTTGTTTTTGAATATATGTATCGTTACTTTCAACCTAAGAAATCCTAAGTACCCTTTTAACTCGTTAATGATTTCTTTTAAATAATTTCTGATAATATAAACTAACTTTTATACAGCTGATTTTTAGTATACCAAGTTCTTTTGACCAGTTCTACAAGCTAAAATAAATGACTCAACTTTTATAATACCCTATATTATGTCGATATGATTTTTTCTCCACGAGAAAGCTTGTTGAGTAATACCGTCGCGGAACTACGTATCGTGAGGATATCACCTACAGAAACACCACGAGATCCGACCACGCCATACTCGTAGGTATCTCATTACCGGTATCCTTCATTGCTCTGGAATTAGCTGGGTACACTCTGCGAAGGCCGTGTTTAATCAAATTCTGTATACACAGAATCTGTCTTCCTGTCGTAAACACCACTCTCAAACGGCTGAAGCTAATAAGTACAACTTTTAAACGAGCAGCCGCTGAAACATAATATACACACATCAAAGTGAATAATAAAAGGGCTGCTGGATCGCTCTGAATATGGAATTTCACCGAAGTGGGAAAATCCAGCTTACGATACTTTCTACAGTTCAACAGGTTGAGGAAAACACATGTATTGATCGCTTAACATCATTATCAACGCCATGAGCGCTACTAGGAATCATTGCCACAAGGCAAAGCCTAGCGAATTATGATCAATAATATGTACAGGATTTCTCTGTTTCGATCACATTAAGACCGGCCATTACAATTACTTACTGCTTTCTGTTATGAGTAAGGTGATGGAGAGGTGCATAAGTGAACAAACTGGATTGGTAAGGCATCTCGAATAGCTTTTTAGTTGCACCACGCCGCCTCTTGGGCACTTACCACAATACCACCGAAAAATTTATGTGATACGTTGCTCCAGAGCCGCTAATATTGAATTTGATATCGATTGTTCAAAAATCGAAGCAGCGATGAGGGGGGATCTCTCATATGGACAATGTACAAACCTGGTTTTTTAACAATAGGCTAATTCTTAATAAAACTAAGACATGTGCTATGTTTTTTCGAACTACTCACTGTAGAGCAAATTTTCAGAATTCAATTTGTCTTAATGGTACAACAATAGAAGTGTTTGACAATACTAGATTTCTTTGTCTTGAATCAGACAGTTACCTCAGGTGGGTCAACCATATAAGTTATTTAAGAAACAAGCTCAGCAAGGTTGTTGCTCTATGTGTATAAGAATTATTGCTAAATATTTGGATAGAAAAAATTTGAAAGTTGTATATCACTCAAACTTTGAATCTAGATTAAGGTATGGTATTATGGTATTCGGAAGCTGTAGTGACTTTGTTGGAATTTTTGTAATACAAAAGAGAAGAGAAATATTTTAGGTTTGAAATTGAATGAATCATGTAGAAGCAAGATCAAGTAATTAGGTATGTTAACAGTTTTTGGAGTGTTTATTCAAGAGTGCCTCATATATCTATTTAAAAATAAGCAAATTTTCACAGTTAATGGGCCTACAAGTAACCATACTAGAGTTCTTAACTATACTAAGCGACATATAAATCCGAACACCCAGTTTAAATGGTTTTATTTTAATAAAAGTTGGTGAATGTATTTATCTTACTGTAAATAACAAGTGAAAAAATTTTCAGCCTTATCAGTTGGACATTCCGGTTTTTATACTGCTTTTTTTAATTCACTAACGCTCTAAAAATGAATATTTCAGCCGCAGTAAAGAATCAACGTTGGCGGATTTTGGTTCTTGACATCCTTTACGATCGGTTACGATGCCTAGAGTACGGAGACCTGTACGATTTCGTCAACTTAGCGAGTTTGATAGGGGCCGTATAGTGGGACTTCGGGAAGCTGGACTTTGTTTTCGGGCAATTGCAGTTAGAGTGCAAAGAAGTGTAGACACTGTGGTTAGGTGTTGTCAGGCATGGCTTCGAGAAGGCCGTACGCAAAGAGCAAGGGGCACTGGACGCCACTGTAGAACAACAGACCGTGAAGATCGCCGCCTAAGATTATTGGCCTTAAGGGACCGTTTCTCCACTACCAGGTCCATTGCAAATGAATGGTTTGCAGAACACGGAAGACCTATTGGCATGCGAAGTGTTTACCGACGAATGAGAAGTTTTGGCTTGTTTTCATACCGGCCACACTGGGTCCTCCCTTTAACTCGAGAACACCGACGTAATCGCCTTGAGTGGTACAGACAACGGTCACTCTGGGATCAGGAATGGAACAGTATTGTCTTTAGTGACGAGTCTCGATTTTGTTTAGGCATGCACGATGGTCGTGCCAGGGTTAGAAGGCGACGTGGTGAAAGGAGGAATCCACAGTTTATTGATGAAAGACATGCTCATCACACTGTTGGAGTTATGGTTTGGGGTGCTATAGCTTATGGTTCCAGGTCACCTTTAATCTTCATCAGAGGTAACATGAACGCGCAGCGTTATAACCCCATCTTTTACCCTATCTTGACACCCTGCCAGATCCAACTTTCCAACAAGATAATGCCCGACCACATGTTGCAAGAGTCACAATAGACTTCTTTCAACATAATGATGTCACATTGTTACCATGGCCACCAAGATCTCCCGACTTATCCCCAATTGAGCACGTGTGTGATATGATGGGTAGGAGATTGCTCAATTTGCAACGTCCTCCTCAGACTCTAGAAGCACTTCGAGAGGAGTTGGTGGTTGCCTGGAATGAGATACCATAGGAGGACATTGACCACCTGATCAGAAGCATCCCTAGGTGCGTTGGAGAATGCGTAGCACATCAGGGTGCATCCACACATTATTAAAGGTCAAAGAGCTTTAAAGCAGTGCAATCATTTTGAAATTTTTATCATTTACTTATTATGCTTCATTAAGTACTTATACAAAATTTTATTAAAATAAAACCATTTAAGCTGGGTGTTCGGATTTATATGTCACTTAGTATATATTTATCCTAAGCATAGATTAGCATTGTTAGAAAAAGGATCTCTTTAAGATTATCTAAAACTTTTTAATCAATTACCAGCAGTTGTGAAAAAGCTTGTAAAACTAAGTGCATTTAAAAAAATATATAAAATATAGAACCATATACAATCGATGAATTTTTCAAGCAGATTTGAATAATATGCTTTAAAGCAAGATTCTATCCTTAATTTTGTTTGGTTGACACTATTTGCATCACAAGTGGTATACAGCTGTTGTATAGCATTTGTATTTGCAAATAAACATTATTATTGTTAATATGGCGGCTATGTTTGGAAAAAAATTGGTTGCGCTCCAAATTGGCAGATGCTTTAAGGTAGCTAGAAAATATTATATTCAAATATCCATTCCTAAAAAAAATATAAATCAACACATGATATCATCAATTTGTCAAGACATTTTTTAAAAGCCTTACGACACATTTCGAGTATAATTTCTTGATAAAACACTTCTACTAAAAACAACAATAGACAGTTGTTTTCTTTTTGGTCATGACAGTTAAATTAAAAAAATACATTAATTCCAAGCTTTACGTTTGGACCGCATATATGCATGCAATAGTTTTGCATACTTTTTGATCGTGTCGTAAAACCACAAATCATTTATTCTTAGTACGGCCCTGTAACGTGATCGGCGTTCTGGAGCGCGATCACGTGGTGTATACGTCAATATGTTTAGGTTTGGTCTCTTTCTTCGATGGATACATAATAGCATGAATTGTCTACAGCGTCGTCGGGACTTGAGTTCCAAAAGGATGCGAGTAGTATGCCTATACTACAACTATTTAAAACTGTAATGACTCATACGCGTGATCAACACGTGATCAGAGCTCGATCCCGGCTTCCTTCCAGTACAGCCGTATAGCGTACGACATATGTCGTTTCTGTGGCTCTGCGGTGGTCAACAGCACAGACAGAGACGGAAATAATGGCTGATTGTTCTCCGCCGGGAGAACCAATGAAATCAAAGACGCGCCTCGGCCGGCAGACTCATAGGCGTCGGCAACGCATTGGAACGTGTTTCGTTGAGCGATCGCATATTGTGTGTTTTTATAAGAATTGTTGTGTGATTGTTATTGTTGTGGTTTCTGTGGTTACTGTTTTGGTTATACTTAACCATGGAGAGTACAAATGGCACGAGTGGAAGTACTGAAAGCCAGGGAACAAGTAGACGGCTTCGTAAAGCACTGAAGAGGGACGCGAAAGAAATCGTGCTCAACGTGTTCAATTATCTGAACAGAACTATGTCGCAGGGAGATGCACTCGCAGAAAACTTTAGCTACTACTGATGCAAAGTTTAATTTGAAGGGACGAAAGGCCGTTAAATTGGATGACGATACCAAAATGGCGTTAAGGCGAACCGTACATTCATTCTTCTTTAGGAATGAGATACCAACCCTCAAGGGTGTACATGCAGCGATCAAGGAAAATGAAATTATACCCCAAATGAGCGTCGAGGTAATGAGGAAATCCCTGCATGAAATTAATTTTCGTTACGAAACGCGTAATCGGAAGTCAGTATTGATAGAGAGACCTGAAATAGTCGCCTGGCGTCGAAAATACCTACGCGAAATGATTGAATATAGGCGACAAAGCAGAAAAATCTACTATTTGGACGAGACATGGGTAAATGCAGGTCACACAGTTAAAAAAACCTGGATAGACAAAAACGTAGTGAGTAACCGACAAGCAAGCATTGAAGGTTTGTCAACAGGTCTTCGTGGACCGTCAGGGAAAGGTCAAAGATTGATCGTAACTCATATTGGTAGCGATAGTGGCTTTTTAGAAGAGTGTGACTTGATTTTCGTCTCTAAGAAAGGAGGTGATTACCATGACGAAATGAATGCCAGCTGCTTCGAGAGCTGGTTTCAAGGGGTGCTTCAGCGAGTTGAGCCCAACTCTGTGATCGTCATGGATAATGCTTCCTACCATAGTCGTCGAGCCGAACGTGTACCGACTATGGGATCTCGAAAAAGTGACATGCAGCAATGGTTGCGCGAAAAAGGAATCCCGTTTGACGATTCATGTGTGAAAGCGGAATTGTATGAAATAATTAAACAGCACAAACCTGCGAACATTAGTTACGTGACTGATGAGATGGCCCGTCAATGTGGTGTCACTGTGCTGCGGTTACCGCCCTACCACTGTGAACTGAACCAAATAGAGCTCATCTGGGCTCAAGTGAAGGGCTATATTGCGCGCCATAACACAACCTTCAAATTACCAGACGTTAAGGTTTTACTTGAGACTTCCATACAGCTAGTAACACCCGAAGCTTGGCAGAATGCTATCCGTCATGTTGTGAAGGAAGAAACAAAAATGTGGCAGCTTGACCACCACATCGACACCATCATAGAGCCAGTTATAGTCAATTTCAACGAGGAAAGCGATAGCGACAGTTTATTACTGTCAGATGTAAGTGGAAGCGACGATAAATAAAGGTAATTCCCAAATTTTTGACTTACAATATGTTTCAAACCACTGTTTATTACGCATGTGACAAATCTAGTTCACCCATGTTAAACATTCATACCCCGCCTATGAACAGCCGACTACTGGTAGTTAAGTGATGTTCACGTGAACATCGATGAGTCATTACAGTTTTAGATAGTTATAGTATAGCCGCGTATTATTTGTGGGGTGGTCCCCATGCAAAATGCGATACTATAGCCGATTGGCAATGCGATCAGCGAAAAAATATCAAGTGAGGAACCTATTTTCTCAGGGTGTAACACTTCTAATGGCACTGGGTATACATACGGTTCCCATTTGCTACTTTCCTTCATCCCATTTCACTGTCTGATTCTAGCAACAGGTGTGACGTCTATATTTAATGTTCGTGTAGCTCCGATTTGACCTGATTTCCCGCCTAATTTGCTAAGTTATTTTGACCTTACGCGTAAAGGATGAGTGTTGCGTCTTCCACCTTTCTCCTAACAACTTCACAACGCACATCCCTGGGTTAAGCCTTTGATATCATAATAAAAACAGTATGAAGCGTTCAGCTCCACAGAGTTTCGCTCCCCATACAAGGGATACCATTCAAGTGGAAAATTGATACCGAGCTATAAATAAAACAGATATATACATCAGCAGCAATATTTATGTATAATACCGTTTTGCCCCACATTTTTGAGCTGCTACTAACAAATTAACCACAGCGGTAACTATAATTTTGTAAGCGTGGGATGGAAACAAGTACAGCGAAGGGATCGCGGAAAATTTTGGAGATGACATGACGTATGTCCTAAAAGTTTTGGAACAAAATGTATTGGCTTTAATTTCAACAAACACAAAATAATATCAAGTTGCCTTAGAAAACAAAAGTTTGTCGACTTACTTTACAGTCAGTATAAGCTGAAATTTGTCGAATATTCCAGAAGGAAAACTTTTGACGCAGAACTATTTATCGAACAATAGTGGAGTGCGAGCAGGGAATACCGTGTCCGAAATGGAAGACCATGGGCATTTACTGCACAGAGGTCAGAGGGATTGGTTAGAAGAGCAAACAATCAGGTTGGAATGTCAACATGGAGAATGGCTCGTCAATACAGATCTTCTAAGGGCCAATTTCACCAACGTTAATATTTGACGGTCCCTTGGACCAATGGGAAAATACCATATCGAAATGCAATTTGACGGAAGCTGTCAAAGCTCTCTGAATATCAGTGATTTCTATTGAAATTTTGGATAAAGTCGTGAAAAAGCGGTTGCCTTATAAATAAGGGTACGTTATGGATTTAATATGTCCATTACAACAGTGCCTTGTTAGCAGAATTTATTAGCCCAAAATTTGATTTACACATTATTTGCTTTTAAACCTGAAACCATCACCACATACTCGATAAGCCATGTTTTTTAATATCTGCAAAGTTAAATTTCTTGTCTTTTCAGTGTGTTTATAGACCTGCCTCAAATGTTCAGTCGTGGACAAGAGGTAGATATCAGTGTCTTTGTAGGAAAGGCTACTACTCCAAGAACGATGATGGTGTTTTCAACGGAAGTTTGATAGAAGGTAGGTATCCTCAACTTTTTTTCTCCTTCGCATTGTAACACAATACCAGAATTCAATGATTCCAGGTACATTACAACAGAATCCGTATTCAAGTTACAAAAAACATTTAGCATCAGTCATCCCACACTCATGCAAAGCACAAATAAATATCCACATTTATGGTGTATTGCAGCGCCATAGATGCATTATTTTTATTCCAAGTGTTTCAATATCGAGTATAGTCTCTGAATACGAGGGCTGCTCGATAAGTACTTAGCTTACAAAAGGAAAACGGAAATTTTTGTAAAATGGAGATTTATTTCTCTTCTTTAACCCATCTGAAGAATACGTTTTGTGTATCCGAGGCGGCGATAAGCTCCTCAAACGACTCAAATTTCTGCCCGGAGAGTGGCTCAAGTAACTCCAGTTTGGAAGCAAAAAGAAGTCGCAGGGGGCCAAATCTGGAGAATACGGTGGATAGGCAGCAGTTCGTAGCCTAATTCGACACATTTGGCCGTCACTTTTTTCTTCGCCAAATGTCTTTTCTGCAATTCGGCACTGAAACAGCCCAATAATTCGGCATAGTTGAGGCCTGTGACCGTTTCGCCCTTTTCCAGGTGGGCGATGTAGATCACACCTTGTGAATCCCAGAAAACGGTGGCCTTCGCCTCCTTCGGAGCACGTTCGCCGGGTAAAGTTGACTGTTTCGACTGTTCCTTGGTCTCTAGTGTGTAACAGTGGAACCACGTTTCGTCTACGGTCACGAAATGACGCAGAATATCCTTCGTATTCCGCTTGAACAGCGTCAAACACTGCTCTGAAGTGGTCTCATGGTTGCGCTTGTTGTCCAGAGTGAGCAAATGCGGCACCCATCGCGTAGACAGCTTTCTCATGCCGTTTGAGATGTCTACTGCTTCTGCTATATCGCGCACCTTCAATCGGCGGTTAGCCGATACAAGATCGTGGGCTTTTGTCACGTTATTCTCCGTGGTAGCTGTTTTCGGGGCTCTCGGGTTGTCTCATCGAAAACCGAAGCGCGACCACGTTGATAGTCGTTAAACCAATTCTTGACTGTACTCGTCAAAGGAGAAGAGTCACCATTTAAGCGCACTTTGATCTTGCTGAGCGATTTCCTTTGCAAAAACCAGAATCAAATTACTGACAGATATTGCTTTTTTTCGCGGTCAAAACAAAACTACGAGTCCGATTCGGCTAAAATTGTGACAGTAGCCGTCTACGAAAATATACTACACGAGAGTAATTTTCTCTTACGATAGTTGCGCCTTCGCGCGTTGCGGCTAAATACTTATCGGACCACCCTCGTATCTACCACATAGATTGTTTTCTTGATAAGTTTGATTTGTTTATAGTCCGGTGACAGTATAGGTTATACTATGAAATCATTCTATGCAAGTGGCACTCCAAAAGTCGTGGGACAAGCAGCCTCCTAAGATCGTAGCACAAGTGGGCCTTTAGAATTGTGGGGCAAACGGTAAGCACCTCAAAATCGCGGGGCAAGGCGTCCCCCCAAAATCGTGGTGCAAGCAGCCCCCCCAAAATCATGGAGCAAGCGGTAATCGGTCCCCCAAAATCGTGAGGAAGCGGTCCCCCAAAATCGTGGGGCAAGCGGCCTCAAACATCGTAAGGCAAGCGGCACCCGCAAACTCGTAGGGCAAGCAGTCCCCTCAAAATTGCAGGGTAAGCGTCACGCCCTAAAACGAGGGGCTAGGGGCAAGCGACCCCTCTCAAAATTTCGGGCAAGCGGCCCCTCAAACTCTTGGGACAAGCGAATATCGGCACCCCAAAATCATGGGACAAGTGTCACACCCAAAATCGTGCGGCAACCTGAAAGTTGTCCCCCAAAACCGCGGAGCAAGCAGTCCTTCCAAAATCTCATGGCAAGCAGCACCAACAAAAATTTGGGGAATCCGTAAGCGGTCCCCCAAACTCGTGTGGCAAGCGGCAAGCGGTTCTCCCAAAATCGTGGAGCCAGCACCTGTCCCAAAAACATGGGGCAAACGGCAAGCGACCCTCCAAAATTGTGGGGCGAACGATCCCCTTAGAATTGTGGAGCAAGCGCCACAACCCAAATCGTGCGACAACCTGAAAGCGGACCCCCAAAACTGCGGAGCAACCGCTCCTCCCAAAATCTCGGGACAAGCGGAACCACCAAAAATGTGGGGCAAGCAGTAAGCGGTCCCCCAAAATCTCGAGACAAGCGGCACCACAAAAAACGTAGGGCAAGAGGTAATCAGTCCCCCAAAATCGTGTCGCAAGCACCACCCCACAAATCGTACGACAACCTGAAAGCAGACCCCCAAAACTGTTGAGCACCCGGTCCTACCCAAGTCTCGGGACAAGCGGCACCACCAAAAACATGGGGCAAGCGGTAAGTGATCCCCCAAAATCTCGGGACAAGCGGCACCCCCAAAATCGTGGGACAAGCGGCAAGCAGTTCCCCAAAATCGTGGTGCAAGCGCCACCCCCCAAATTGTGCGAACACCTGAAAGTAGACCCCCAAAACTGACCGGTCCTCCCAGAATCTAGGGACAAGCGGCACTATCAAAAACATGGGGCAAGCGGTAAGTGGTCCCCCAAAGTCGTGATGCAAGCGCCACCCCCCAAATCGTGCGACAACCTGAAAACGGACCCCCAAAACTGCGGAGGAACCACTCCTCCCAAAATCTCGGGACAAGCGGTACCACCAAAAATGTGAGGCAAGCAGTAAGCGGTCCCCCAAAATCTCGAGACAAGCGGCACCACAAAAAACGTAGGGCAAGAAGTAATCGGTCCCCCAAAATCGTGTCGCAAGCGCCACCCCGCAAATCGTGCGACAACCTGAAAGCAGACCCCCAAAACTATGGAGCACTCGGTCCTCTGAGAATCTAGGGACAAGCGGCACTATCAAAAACATGGGGCAAGCGATAAGTGGTCCCTCAAAATCTCGGGACAAGCGGCATCAAAAAAATCGTGGGACAAGCGGGAAGCAGTTCCCCAAAATCGTGATGCAAGCGCCACCCCCCAAATCGTGCGACAACCTGAAAGCGGACCCCCAAAACTTTGGAGCAACCCGTGCTCCCAAAATCTCGGGACACGCGGCACCACCAAAAATGTGGGGCAAGCGGTAAGTGGTCCCCCAAAATCTTGAGACAAGCGGCACCCCAAAAATCGTGGGACAAGCGGCAAGCAGTTCCCCAAAGTCGTGATGCAAGCGCCACCCCCCAAATCATGCAACAACCTGAAAGCGGACCCCCTAAACTGCGGAGCAACCGCTCCTCCCAAAATCTCGGGACAAGCGGCACCACCAAAAACGTGGGGCAAGCGGCAAGTGGTCCCCAAAAATCTCGGGACAAGCGCCACCCCCCAAATCGTGCGATAACCTGAAAGCGGACTCCCAAAACTTTGGAGCAACCGGTCCTCCCAAAATCTCGGGACAAGCGGCACCACCAAAAATGTGGGGCAAGCGCCACCCCCAAATCGTGCGACAACCTGAAAGTGGACCCCAAAACTGTGGAGCAACCGGTCTCCCCAAAATGTCGAGACAAGCGGTACCCCCAAAATCGTGGGACAAGCGGCAAGCAGTTCCCCAAAATCGGGGTGCAAGCTCCAACCCGCAAATCGTGTGACAACCTGAAAGCGGACCCCGAAAACTGTGCAGCAACCGGTCCTCCCAGAATCTCGGGGCAATCGTCACCACCAAAAACATGGGGCAAGCGGTAAGTGGTCCCCCAAAATCTCGGGACAAACGGCCCCGCTAAAATCGTGGGACAAGCGGCAAGTAGTTCCCCAAAATCGTGGTGCAAGCGCCACCGCCCAAATCGTGCGACAACCTGAAAGCGGACCCCCAAAAGCTGCGGAACAACCGGTCCTCGCAAAATCTCGAAACAAGCGGCATCACAAAAAACGTGGGACAAGCGGCAAGCGGTTCCCCCAAAATCGTGGGGCAAGCGGACTCCCAGAATCATGGAGCAACTCTCCCGTTCTTTCTCAGACTGCGGTGCACCTCGTAATTTGGGAACTCAAGGTGATGATTGGATTGCAGGTAGCGTTGAACAGCATCAATATTGCTGTTAATCCGCAGATGTTCGTGAGCAAAAATTTATCATCGATGTTGTTCCCTCCAGTCCACCTCCGAGTGAGCGTACGTCCGGTATCCTTAGTACTCGATGGATCCATTATCAATAATTTCTTTGTTGGATGATAGGTGTGGATACATGTGGACATTCCTAAGACACCCTGAAAGAAGCTAGCGGGTGGTACCGCCTCGGTCGACTGATCCTTGTCTACCACCTTTTTGCGTGTTAATGATGTTAAACCGACCCTTTGGTCGTTATGTGGAATTTAATCTATGAACGATACCTGGGGCTTCATCTGGCACGTTTTATACATAAAACTTGGGCATTCGGACGATGCAACACATATGTCAGGACGTTGCCCCAAAATTCTCACGCTGGTACTTCTCTGTTGTTAATACTATTACGAATGGAGCAACTTATAAGCTTAAGATGAAGACATACGTATATGGAACGGCCAGATGAGAAAGATCGGCAATTACCTACCTGCGTCCACACAGGCTGGACTCAACTCACGGCTCCACACTGGAAGTTATTGACGCCTGGACACAATTCAATGCACTGACTATTTGTATCGAATTCTATCCATCAACATAAATCGTGGACTCGTTTGACAATCTAAAATGCTATTTAGATAAGACTGACATGTTGGAAAGTTCCCTTTGATCATTTTTACTTCACCGCGGCAGTAAAAACTACCAAATCGTCACTGATTGTAATTAACTCGAGCGCGACAGATTGATGTCACCTCGCAGCCACAGGCATCGGAAAAATGAACATGCAACATTTTTATTTTTTGATTTATTTCAAAAGCGTCTTATGTAATTCTGCAGCTTCCTTATTCGATTTTTGTTCTAGTGGCGTGGCTGGAACAGAAGGAAAACATCAGTAATGCCTGGGATGAACTGTTTACTTGTAAGAGGTGTGCCCCTGGTTGTGACGTGTGTAGAGATGAAGCTCCTTGCTTAGCCGAGTACAAATGGCCATTCAGGTAAAGCCATAAAAATCACTTTAACCGAGATAAGGCCAACTAACTATCAAGCTTCGCTGTTATCACGAGTCCGACATGTACTTCGATCTCGAATTAGGAAAAACATTCTTATAAATATACATTTATACATACATACATATAAACATAGGTGAATGCAACAAAACTAAATTGCCAACAAATCAAACATCGTCATCACTACCTTCATGAAAACTGTTTCCACAGATTTTCTTGGATATGGAAGTCGGATTATTGGACTTCGTTTCTTTCTTGGATAAACTTGCTAAACAATCTAATTTTATTTTTTATTTCTAGGTTAACTCTTCTGTCTATATCCGTATTCTGTGTTATGTGTACCGTTGCTTTGAATGTATATATGTTCAAGCATAGAAAGCTGAAGGTTTTTAAAGTTGCCAGTCCTATTTTCCTTAGCATTACTCTTTTTGGATGCGCTACCATGTACCTAGAGGTAAGGAAAAAGCCTAAACACCTTACAATATCGATAACATAGAGGGTGATTAGAAAAACGATGAAGTTAGCTACATCGGACTTATTTCACAGCAGTTTCGAATTCTGATGTCGCCAAATTTAAAATCAGCTGCTCTTATATATTATGCGTCTTCTTTTCTTCGCCAACATACACTACCGTTTAAAAGTATTTGAACATCTGCATATTTCCATTTAAAATCATAACAAATAAAAAAACTTTTCAGTACTATTTTATTTTTCTTCACTTATTGAAAACCATCACCATGGATATCAAGCAATGAAAGGTCATTGGAATCAAAATTTTGCTCACATTGTCTTTGGGATCTCATCATTAGCCGTAATAGGAATTTCTTTGCCTTTAGAATATTGTTATGTTATTTTATAGGAATTCTTTCTCAGGATTTTTGTCTTTTAATTTGTGTTGTACGTAAGCCCATAACACAGTTTTACTTCAGTTATTTTGTCTCACTTAATAAATTAACCGTGCTTCAATACCTTATATGTAGTTCAAGATTGTTCAACAAGTGCGTTTTCGTTTATTTCTTCTGGGCAAAATGGGTAAAACTAAAGAATATTCGGAAGAGAAAAAAGAAAGTATTATTGGTCTCCATCCGGAAAAAGTATCTGAGAAATTTCTAAACTTCAGGAGGTACTACTTGTCATCTACACACTACATCATTAAGAAATTTAAAGCTGAACAGACAGGTACGAAAATGTTGTACTGCATCTCAAAAACACTTATGGGGAGTGGTGTATTACAAGACAAATGGCAAAAAATAATCCACTTTATAAAAATTAGTTGCGCGCTTACCCATCATTTGCCAGGCTGTAGGTAATTAAAAGTAAAGAAGGACATATGGATGAGACAATAATATGATTATTTTGATTATAAATAGTTGTGTGTTGTTAAGATTTAAGAAAATAAATCTTTCATACATATATTGTAATGTTTTCTTTAATAACTTACATCAGTTTCCTTGTTTTCTGGGTGTTCAAATACTTTTGAACGGTAGTGTATTTTTCATGGATTGACGAAACGGCACAACACAAAGTCATAAAAATATACCACATACAAGAAATTATGTAATAGTCGAGAAAACTCGTTTTTTTCTTTTTCGTAGTTACTACATCCATAGATGTGCATATATTTAAAAGATCTATTTATCTGAATACGAATCAGACCTCATGAAATATTTTAAGCATATCAGTGATATTTCAGAAATCTTCTGCATGAAATATTTCTTATCCCTCAAAATAAATTGGGAATATTACAAAATCAATAGAGAGAGAAATAAAATGATCATGCGGAGAAACAAAAAGTAGGAAAATAATCCGCAAAAAGGAGGAAAGTGGATTCGAGCAGAAAATAGGATAGGTAACCCGAGCGGTACGTATTTCTGCTGGTTGGCTTCATCAGGCCCGAAATGAATGCACATATGCAACTACAAAAGTAAATACACATTCCCACACATACGGATACGGCTGTAACCTGACGAAACGAAGATGGAGAGGGAATTTCCTCCTTTTTGCGGACTTTGCCCATTATTTTCCTACTTTTTGTTATATACCTTTCTCCGCATGATCATTTTCTCTTTGTAGATCCTTTGGGCTTGAAGTACCACAGCAAGTGGCTATAACCGGCGCGTGGTTGTGGTTAGATGTCTCCTTGAAAATTCGAGGTCTTCTAGCCATTTTATACTACAATGTGTAGGTTGGCTCTTGTTGTGGAGTTCGTGTGTCGATTTTTGCCCTCTCCATCTTCGTTTCCTCAGGTTACAGCCGCATCCGGATGTGTGGGCATGTGTATCTACTTTTGTAGTTTCATATGTGCTTTCATTTCTGGCCTGATGAAGCCAACCAGCAGAAATACGTATCGCTCGGGTTACCTACCCTATTTTGTGCTCGAATCCACTTTCCTCCTTTTTGCGGATTTTGCCCATTATTTTACTACTTTTTGAGACTTTGAAGTTGAGTCATTAATTTTCAGATAATGATTGTAGAAGGAAGATAAACCAAAATATGTGTGTAAAAATAAAAAAAAAATTAAAAAAAAAATTTACCTTGTTTTATAAAGTATCCTCCCGACAAGTATTTCAGTGCGGACCTGTATTTGATCGTGAGGTCCCCTGTGAGGTCTTAAGTCACCTGATTCACGAGCCCGTTGTACTACATTAACAAAGGCACGAGGGGTTGGTTGCACTCGATTGGGAAACCGATCCGCATAAACATGTGCCATTTTTTATTTCGTTTGAGCCACGCAACAGACACTATTCACACGCGACTGAAACTGACTGTATGTATAACTGAACTGAATTGTAATCGTAAAAACATCGTTCCAAATTCTTTCGCTTTTTTGTTTCCGATGCGATGAACCGTTGTTGCCAAACACGAACACATGATATTATTGAGACAGGGCGGTACTCAAACTTCCAAAGGGCTATAACTTTGTTACTTTAATTTTACCAGAAAAATGGTAAAGGAAAAAAACATTTCTTTTGATCAGATCTACACACTGTTAAAATAAATGACTCAACTTCGAAGTCACCCTGTATATATATAACTTGAGACGTGGTCATTGTCGTCTAGACCAGTTAGGTGAAAAATTAAAGCTTCCGCCTTTTGTTGGGTACTTCGACAAAATTTAAGCAAAGAGGACTCTTTATACTTTTTTTAATTCTCTTTAGCTTTCAATGGACTTTGCCATCATCATCAGGAGCTGCAATTACAATGATAACAGTAGCAACAAAAGTGTAAAATGAATTTAAATTGAATCAACTTACAGTAGTATGTGAGGATGTTGCTAATTGTTCTTTCGTATAGGATGAGGGAAACGTCCAGTAACCTGGTGATCGCTGGATACATGGTACAATGGTTAAAATTATATAAAATATGACAAGACAAGTTAAAGACAGATTAAAAATTATTTAGAAAACATTAGAGCATTACGTCGTGAAGCCACTTGATGATTGCACAAAATGGTGGTCATGGAATAATGAGTGAGATGAACATTCTGAAAATCACATCATCTGAAGTAATTTGGCAACGTTTTGGCACACGCCCTCAATTCGTTCCATCTTTCAACACAGACACTGACAACCTTCGGCCTTCTGTCAAAGGTTCATCTCACTCATTATTCCATGACCACCATTTTGTGCAATCATCAAGTGGCTTGACGACGTAATGCTCTAATGTTTTCTAATTTTAACCATTGTACCATGTATCCAGCTCTCACCATGTTACTGGACGTTTCCCTCATCCTATACGAAAAGAACAATTAGCAAAATCCTCACATACTACTGTAAGTTGATTCAATTTAAATTCATTTTACACTTTTGTTGCTACTGTTATCATTGTAATTGCTGATGATGGCAAAGTCCATTGAAAGCTAGAGAGAATTAAAAAAAGTATAAAGAGTCCTCTTTGCTTAAATTTTGTCGAAGTACCCAACAAAAGGCGGAAGCTTTAATTTTTCACCTATATATATATATATATATATATATATATATTGGGAAAGATATGTAATATACCAGAGATATATCTGAAAACTAATATGCTGTGTGGGTAACATCTTAAGAGAGATAATTTAATCACCTAATCAAAATTAAATAGATTTAAATTTCAGATGGCTGCCATTTTCCCAATACTTGATCAGTATTCCTGTATAGCAACAAAATGGTCTCGCCATTTGGGGTTTTGTATAACATACACTGCCCTGTTAATGAAAACCTGGAGGTGAGTATTCACTTTTCTTGCATTATTATTGACCAAACACACCGATGCTACGAGGGCTGTCTAAAAAGTTTCCCAACTCTGTATCTTTGCCGCGCGTGAAGCTGGGCGAAATCTGGCAACACCGTCTTGTTTGTCGGCTGCCCCAGCACCGATCCCAACAATAAGCGCCTATTTGCGATGCTCAGTACCGGTCTGACAGACATGCGCATTGAAGCGTAGAAAAAATGGCGACTATATAGAAAAATAGCTTAAATAATAATAACAATATTACGAACTGTAAATTGAATTTCCTTTACAGGAGCTGGTACAACGAAGATATTGAATAGTACTTCATTAAAAATAAGACCTTTTCGTCAAATTTTGGTAAACAGATCAATTGTTCGAAAGGAGAAATTTCCAAAAACTCATTCAGCAGGTCTTTATCTAGATTTCTAAAGCGGCATTTTTTAGAATAATTTGCAATATATTTATTTATCATGATATGATATTTTGCAGGTATATCAATATCAACGTTTCCAATTTTAAATTCGTTTTTTCAAATAATAAGATGTGCGAACCTTATTTTTGAGACAACCCGCGTATATCGTGGAATAATTAACATCGGTTTCCTATTCAAGTCGATGCGATTCTGTTTCAGGGTATCACTGACCTACCGTGTAAAATCTGCGCACAAAGTGAAACTGACTGACAAACAGCTGCTGCAGTGGATGGTGCCCATTCTGCTGATAATGCTGATATATTTGGGTACATGGACGTTCTCGGATACGCCAAATGCCGAGGAGATCGTCGACAATCAGGGGCTTAAGTTCAAACAGTGTGTCTACAACTGGTGGGATCACAGCCTCGCCATAGGTATATTAGGATTGACGTTCATTTTCTTCGTGTTTGAAAGATTACAATGCGGGACCACTCAAAGGATCTGTACAGGGTGATTCACAAGTCGTGACCAAAAATGAAACAGCGTATTAAGGGGGGTCTTCTATGTAACAACAACAACAAAAATGGGAGTAGTAAAGATAACAACCGTATAACACATAACTTTGACATCTCCCAAGAAACGTCAAGCTGGTATCAAGGCCTCCTATTTTATTTTGAAACTTCAGTGGAATCCAATTATAATGAACTTGCTCATAATGGAAACCCGTATATAATAGACACAATTTAAGGTCCTATAAATAATTGCATGTAAAATCCTCGGATATTATAGACTCACTTAAAATACACCCTCGCTTGTAACAAACTATTTTAATCCATTATATGCGAGCTATTTTGGTAGTTCCCCAAAGCAGATTTAGCTGATGCGATCGTTTACAAACTTGTTTTTGTTTCTCATCAGCAGTGATTAAGGCATGGATTCATGCATTACATTGACTGCTCTTTCTGCTGTATTGTTAACAGCTCTCAGTGTTTGCACCTTATTTTTAGCGTATCGAAAAGAATCATTTTGTGGCCATGAAGTTGGACACTCGTCGAGAAAATTGTCATCAATTTTGAGTTGACTGAACAAGGACTTGCTTTTGATTGAAGCAAAGTCATCGATATTTTTCTCTGAAATGAAAAATCGAAGCATAGCTGCCATCTCAACATACAGGTTTTGTCTTTCCGACCATGGACAGATGGTTTGTGCTTTTTGGCAACTCATCAGCATCGTCTAGACTCGGCGTCAGGTCAGAACAATGAACGACAGCATAGGAACTAACCTCTATCTGAGGTATAAGACCTATCGAAACAAGGCAAGGTCCCATCTATTGCCAGAATCGCAGTATATGGTGACTCATAGAGTGGGCCAGAAAGTTCTTCTTTCTATGGGATGTACCGTGGGCTGATAAACTTTCTTTGACTAAATTTGCAACAATGTGTACCTTAGTTTCCTCATATAGTACGTCGTCGTCTAGCAGAGATGAGACAGAGACCTCATCTGTCAAATACCATAAATGTTGGCAACTTAATTTACAAATGTTTTGACATCGTTCAAGCATAATTAGAGGGTATTCAAGTGAAAAACGAGCTTTCATTTCTTTGGGACACCCTAGTATACATATAACATGTTATTATGTATAACCATCCCATCATCGGCTGATTAAAAGCTGCTGGCAAACGAACATGGAAAACACTTTTCAATAGCTTGGTACCACCTTACCTTACAGATTGTCTTTTTCAACAGTATACACTAGGATCGTCCACATGTATGTTTTTTAGAAACTCTTAATGCTTAGACTACACTGTAGACTTATTCATATGAGGCACATGCACAAATAATAATTTAGTTTACCACTGCAACTGCTGTTATTACGATTCCACGGCCAGTGCCACTGAACCTTTCTATAAGGTTGTCAGGGGCAGAATCAAAAAATATGGTCGCTTTCTATCAACCATAAAACAAAGCTCATACGAAGAATATATACAGAGTGACATAAAAGGTAAAAACCTACGTATGTTTATTAGAATTCAAGAATTCAAGTGATAACATGGTCAGGTGTTTCTGCTAAGTTTTTGTGGTGGCTGCGAGTATTGTTTGGTGATGTAAAACTGTGCTGACTGACGATGTGCAGCGATTGTATTCGAGGAGCTGTTGCCTTTGCTCTATGTAGGATTTCAGGAGGACTATAGCAGAAGGATCGTTAGAGTAATGCGGTAGCTTTCAAAGAAGTATATCATGCTGTTCACAATCGAAGGCCTTGCTCAGATCGAAGAAATTTGCCTCTATATGAGTCATTTATTTTAACAGTGAGTAGATCTGATCAAAAGAAATGTTTTTTTTCCTTTAACATTTATCCGGTAAAATTAAAGTAACAAAGTTATAGCCCTTTAGAAGTTTGAGTACCACCCTGTCTCAATAATAATATTATGTGCTCGTGTTTGGCAACAACGGATATAATCCGCCTTATCGGTTCATCGCATCGGAAACAAAAAAGCGAAAGAATTTCAAACGCTTATCACGATGTTTTTACTACAATTTTATTCGGTTGTGTTCAGTCAATGTGTCAGTCGGTAACTTCAAAGTCACCCTGTATATTACTTATCTTCAAATCCATCGTGTACAATGTCAATAAGACTGTTTATTGCAGTAATGGTTGATAAGCCTGTTCTAAAGCCATATTGATGAGAATTTAGGAAATTGTTGGTTTCGAGATAATTGCTCAGTTGGTCCTTGAGTATAATTTCAAAGTAGAAAGTACGGTACTAATGATATAGGACGGTGGTTAGAAACTTCGTCAACAGACCCATCTTTATATATAGGAATTACCCTGGATATTTTTAGAGCTGCGGGCAAAATATTTGATTGTAAACACATATTGATAAGATATTATTATTATCAGCACAATGTCCAGACGTGGATCCTGAACACGTTATTGAACCAGCTTCTGCAATCAGTTGACGAATCAAGCTGAAAATTCAATAATTTTACTAGTAAGGGACTCTGAACATATACGCCAGAAATTATACTAAGTGACATATAAATCCGGACACCCAGTTTAAATGGTTTTATTTTAATAAAAGTTGGTGAATGTATTTATCTTACTGCAAATAACAAGTGAAAAAAGTTTCAGCCTTATCAGTTGGACATTCCGGTTTTTATACTGCTTTTTTAAATCACTAACGCTCCAAAAATGAATATTTCAGCCGCAGTAAAGAATCAACGTTGGCGGATTTTGATTCTTGACATCCTTTACGATCGGTTACGATGCCTAGACTACGGAGACCTGTACGATTTCGTTAACTTAGTGAGCTTGATAGAGGCCGTATAGTGGGACTTCGGGAAGCTGGACTTTCTTTTCGGGCAATTGCAGTTAGAGTGCAAAGAAGTGTAGACACTGTGGTTAGGTGTTGTCAGGGATGGCTTCGAGAAGGCCGTACGCAAAGAGCAAGGGGCACTGGACGCCGCCGTAGAACAACAGACCGTGAAGATCGCCGCCTAAGATTATTGGCCTTAAGGGACCGTTTCTCCACTACCAGGTCCATTGCAAATGAATGGTTTGCAGAACACGGAAGACCTATTGGCATGCGAAGTGTTTACCGACGAATGAGAAGTTTTGGCTTGTTTTCATACCGGCCACACTGGGTCCTCCCTTTAACTCGAGTGGTGCAGACAACGGTCACTCTGGGATCAGGAATGGAACAGTATTGTCTTTAGTGACGAGTCTCGATTTTGTTTAGGCATACACGATGGTCGCGCCAGGATTAGAAGGCGACGTGGTGAAAGGAGGAATCCACAGTTTTTTGTTGAAAGACATGTTCATCACACTGTTGGAGTTATGGTTTTGGGTGCTATAGCTTATGGTTCCAGGTCACCTTTAATCTTCATCAGAGGTAACATGAACGCGCAGCGTTATATCCACGAAGTTCTAGAACCCCATCTTTTACCCTATCTTGACACCCTGGCAGATCCAACTTTCCAACAAGATAATGCCCGATCACATGTTGCAAGAGTCACAATAGACTTCTTTCAATTTAATGATGTCACATTGTTACCATGGCCACCAAGATCTCCCGACTTATCCCCAATTGAGCACGTGTGGGATATGATGGGTAGGAGATTGCTCAATTTTCAACGTCCTCCTCAGACTCTAGAAGTACTTCGAGAGGAGTTGGTGGTTGCCTGGAATGAGATACCACAGGAGGACATTGACCACCTGATCAGAAGCATGCCTAGGCGCGTTGGAGAATGCGTTGCACATCAGGGCGCATCCACACATTATTAAAGGTCAAAGGGCTTTAAAGTAGTGCGATCATTTTGAAATTTTTATCATTTACTTATTATGCTTTATTAAGTACTTATGCAAAATTTTATTAGAATAAAACCATTTAATCTGGGTGTTCGGATTTATATGTCACTTAGTATATTAAAATCGGATAAACGTACGTATGTGTTTACCTTTTCTTGTCACGCAGTATACGGGTCAAAACCAGAGAGGTGAGCATTTTAGGTTTTCAAATATCTGAGAAATTCGGTTCCTTTTTGAAGAAAACTAACAAGAGCAGTCTGTTGTGTCATTTATCAGGAATATTTTCCATGAAGATGAACGCACAAAAATATATATTTTGGAAATACTACCCGTTCATAAGAATTATCCCAGAGTCGTGAGTCATTTCAGGAATACTTTTAAAACTCTAAATAATACTTAACTACTTATTTAAGAATCAACTTAATCAATTGTAATAAACCTGCCCCTAAATCGGAAAATGTTATTTTGTAATTTTTCATAATCAAAACACTTATTTTTCAAATTACTGTCCATAAATCTTGAATTGGTGTAAATTCTGCTCCGAAGCTTTAATTTATTTTATACATTCTTGCACTACGTGGTATAGGGGAAGGTCGGGTAAAGTGACCCAGGCAGGTAAAGTGGCCACCTTCATTTTAAAAACGAACCATTAAGCGCCATCTATTACGGGATATGGGAATAATATCATTGGTTGACGCCATATTGCTTCCGTGACCATCAACTGGATCAGTGCTTGTCTTAGGATTTTATTGTGAAAAAATATATTTTAGTGGTCTTTGATCTAAGGTGAGTGGTTTAAACATAGTAAAAATATATTGTCATCAGATTCACAGAGAAAACAATGTACGATTTTATTGGTTTAGTGTATGAAATGAGCAATTCATTCCACCGCAAAGTAGGTCAATATAACCTCATTTGCTATTTGAATTATTTTTTCTTCGCCGCATGCCAATTCGGGTAAAGTGGCCTACCAAATCGGTAAGGTAAAGTGACCCGGTAGTCCACTTTACCTTTTTAGTGTTTTTTCCTGCAACCATATAATGGTTTGTGTTATTTTAGATATGCCAACTAGATATACACGGACGACGCAGCAGCAGACATGGGATTCGGAAGCGATGGAAAAAG